TGACAGCAGGATGACTTAAGATGTGGTAATGATAAATTAAGGCAGGGTTGAGTTATCAGGAGTTTACCGTAGTTGGTATTTTTATACAGATTTTTTAATTTTGCTAAAAGACTCCCAAATTTCAAAGTGAGATGGAGGGTAGATATTTTTAAAATGAGGTTGAATATATCAAAAGGAAAATATACTAGGAATTTTGTTGCTTTATCCAAAAGGGAATTATTTGATCTTCAAACTGGTTTTAACACGAGCATTTTGCAAAAAGGTGTGGTTAGGTGATGTTCTCATCATGATGAAAATGCTGCTCAAGTCCTGGTCTTTTTTTAAAAAAACTGTTGAGAAATGCACCAAAGAGGGAATAGATAATATGCTGTAATTGCTTGTTATTTTGGTCAGGCAAGATGTCCTCTGTGTTTATATTTTCTTTATCTGTATTCTATCTGGTGTAAGATCTGTTAATGAGAATTTGTTTATACATGGCTCACTATCGATATCTTGGGTGTTCGTTAATTGATGCAAAATCTGGCCCATCGCCTATTTATTTTTTCTACTCTGATGCAAATTACCCCAAAACACGTGAGACATTCTGCTACTATGCACAATGCAGATTCTTTTTTCTGAAGACTGTCTCTAACAAAGTATTCTCCCTGGATCAGTAACCAAACTATGTTGTATAAAGAAGCATAAGCTCCAGTGCTTATACAATCAAATTACAAGGCTTTCATAGATAACTTCTGAAACAAAATATGATTACATATTAACTTAAGAGGCCGTCACAGGTTTATCAATTACAATTTTTAAATTAAAAAAAGCTGCAGGGTTTGAAACAAATGGACTAAATGTAGTTAGAATAAGATAACCTATGGAAACTACTCCAATGGAGTGGTCCAGTAGTACAAAAGTAGTACGTCATTCAGGGCTGCCTGTGTTCCAAATTCAATCGGGTAAATCATACAATGCAATACAAATTTCCATTGGTTTAGTGCCTTTCACGTCAGGAGGACCCAAGGCGCTGAAATCATGTCTTTGTATGAAAAGTTTCTACCTTAAGGACATATGAATTCAGCATTCTTGGCTCTGTTGCTGAATGGCAAGCAATTCATTCCTATGTGGGAGGGAGATGGGTATTTTTAAATTAAAATAGGAATTTGTGTGGCTAACATCAGTTGGAGGGTAAAGAAAATCTTAAGTGGCATTGACTGTGGGCATAGAAACATTCATTATTGTTTAGCCTACTCTTGTGACTGGAGGGCACCAATTTCTGAAGATCCCCAAGTAGCAAAAAATGTGCAGTAAACCTTCATTTTAATAAAGATCTGAAAGGAGTTAATGCTTTGTTCATTTCAATACATTTAAAACCCCTTAAACCGAAGTTGGCCATAGCCATACCCAGTTTATAGGTCACCTGAAAACAAAGCACCCAAGACACAGTGGAGAAAATCATCTGTATAGATATCAGATAGTTTGCTGGTTGTGAATCCTCATTCTGCAAAAATAATTCTCACCGATTCTAATACTGTTTGCATTTGATGTGTATGACTGGACTGTAAACACCATTTTAACAGTGAGTTATTCAAAATATGGGAAACTTGTTGAAACAAAATCTTTCTTACCTATGAAATGTTGCACTTGAAGATACCCTTTATCAAGAAAATAAACATTTGGGGGCTGCAAAGAAATTAACACTAACTTTTTTTTGACAAAGGATTTTGCATATGGGATTTAGTTCCAGTTTATACTGTGATGCATAGGGGTAAGATTTTGTTGCACAAAATATTTCTGTAGTGACAATATTTATACAATATGGCAAAATAGTGGTTCTTTGCACAGTTAGAATAGGGTTGGACATTTGAAACAATCACATTGCTAATTATAGGCTCAAGATAAGTGTCCATCCGTTATGCAGTTGAAGATGGACAATTATTCTACTTTGTCACAATTTTACAACGTTCACATTCCAAGCTTTCACTGTGAATGTTCCAACTCAATGTTGCTTCATTCAAACATTTCTCAGATAATTAAAATCTGTAAATATTTTAAACAAAACATTGTTGCCTTGTTTTTTTATGAAACATTAAGAGTTTTAATTTTCAGGTCCCCTCCAAAAATCCCAAAGCCAACAGAACCAGAAAAGCCACAAACTTCTCCCTTAGCTAGAATAGTTTCCTCAGGTTTACTCCATGTCTCCCCATGTCAGGACATTGAGCTTAGTCTCAGCTGCACACCAGTGCAGCGCTGGGGAACACTACAATGTAGGAGGTGCCGGCCTTTGGGTGAGACATTAAACCAAAGTTTCCTCAGCCTGTCCAAGATGGATGTTAAAGGTCTCTTGACAGTTTGGAAGAACAGGGGTTTCTCCCTATGTCCTGGGTCCTCCAAATAAAAATGGGTTGCTCACTTATAGGCTGTTTGAGATATTATGAGTAAATTTATGCACAGCACTGTCCCACAAACAACAATGGGGAGAAAGACCAGGATACCAAGAAAAACTCTTCCAATACTGTCACAAGATCTGTAACACCAACCTGAAATATAGAATATTTAAAGGTTTCCCACGCAATGCATCAGTGTCAAGCCTAGATTACAAACTCAATGAGCACGGTTGAATTGGAACGAGAGAAGAGTGTTACCATTTGAGCCAAGCTGACACCTGAAAAGTTTCTGTACGAGTTCCAGTATGATCATTAACCAGAAAAAAATAATCAAAGTAAAATCTTGGAAGGAATGTTTCTAAAAATATTCAGATTGAATATTCTTTAAACTCAAACCTTCATAATAAACTTACGGATCGTATATGTTTAATGTTTCTCACATCATTGACAAAGCAATGTGGCTATTTTGTTTTGGAGTTGGCTTCACACCTTTCAATTGTTCCCCTTTTAACCTCACTTTTTTAAAAAAACTTCCAGACTTAAAACTTTGCGACTACATTGAACACTTTTTGGAGTTTGAGATACATAGAGTTCCCCTGTGTTACCCCGAGTCAGTAATTAGAGGATTGCGGGGTCAAGCCTCATAATAATAATCCTTGCATTTGATATAGCGCTTTTCACGTCTTCTGGATATCCCAAAGCGCTTCACAGAATATACTGTAAAGTGAATTGACTGTATATTTGTGGGCAAACCCAGCAGCCAATTGTGCACAGCAATGTCCCACAAACAGTCGCAGATTGAAAATGACCAATTTATTATTGTTTCGGAGGTATTATTATTAGGCGTGTGAAGGAAACTTGCCCAAGGTGTCTCATGGTGGGCATTAGCTCATGCCTAGAATGATGCTCCTTTTTCTTTGCAGGCAAGCTTTCCAAGGCATTCGAATAACTTTTCCTTCCACTGGGTCTACCCAAGTGTTCCATGAGCAGGGATAACAACAACTTGCATTTATATAGTGTCCTTCATGCAGGGTAGCGTCCAGGAGTGCTTCAATGGATGACCCAATCCAATATTTCAGCCAAGACCCATTAGTCAAGTAGTGAGATGGATGTTGCCAGGCTCTTTAATAAAAATTCATGGGGCATCACAATGGAGTCCCAGGTTTGTCCTCAATCGACCTCCACACATACAGTGAGTTGGAGTCTCTACACAGATGAGTGAGAACTCTGGCTGATTTTCCTCTGCCTAATCCACTATGCCGAGACCAATTGTAGCTCTCCAACCATCACCCTGGCTGAGATCAGCTAATTGAACCTGGATGCTGTATGAGCTTTGCTACTCAGGGAATAAACTTACTGAGCCATGGAGCTAAACCCTGTACATTCAGTTCTAATAATTGTCACATTTAACGGTAAAGGTAGAAGAGAAGCATAGGAGAGTTTGACTCAAGTGCATTAAAGGGCTTTGGCTCTGTACTGAATGGAAAGTTAGCTCCAGATTTTGAAGACTTGGAGCCAGTTCAGCAATCTTAGATCTCCTAGAGCCAACAAAAATGTTACTTGGAGGTAGAATTTGCTTCATGTTCGTTTGCCCACCTCAAACTAACAGATTATTGGCTAGGAAGTACTGTACTATCACAGCTAATAAGAACCAAGCACAGAAACTTGTCCTAAAGCATGAATTTTTATAAATTGAAAAGTCAAACTACAGATTCTTCATTTACATTTTTAACGAATTTTCTTGACAATTTAACAATTCTAAAATTCTAGAATCATGTTCCAGATCGTTTTTACATTTAAAAAAGTTAGAAATCTCAAATGAAAATTAGATGAAAATAATAAATTAACTTGATTAGAAATGATTTTCTTCCTGAGTTAAAGCCATTTTAACCTCAAACTGAAAGACATCAAGTGTAGTGTAGCGAATACTCTATCAGCAAGTTTAAAGATAGGTAGATACTTGGGAAGGATTTGGGGAAAAGGCAAGGATTAAAAAATATGCTTTTATCTAATAAAACAGCAGAATAAGCTGGACATTCTGAATGGCGTCTTCCTTTGGCAAGCACTGAATTCCCAATTTCAGTTGGACTAAAAGTGGGACGGTGCTGGCGAGGATATTTGTCTACAGTAAATCTTGAAGCAGTTTGAGAATTGCTGACATAGGTGATGCCAGAATTTTCCATTGTTCACTCGTTCCCAATTCTTTTCGGTTTGCAAGCTGTCACAAGTCATTTTAATTCATGTAGGAGCTCAGATGAATCTCAACAGATGAGTTGAAAGTTCCAACATTTTGTTTCCCATATTTTAACATATGATTGCACTTTACTTTGCTGCACTCAAAAGATTTTCCATTCCCCTCCCATGCAAGATCACTTACCATTCCAGACTGTAGCTGTCCATCAAGGTCAGAGTGCTTCCCTTTCCAAAGTTCCTTCTTTCTAAGGAAACGTGCATCCAGTGACTCGGCCAAATTCAGGGACTCACCATTCCCAGAAATGTGAGATCTCACAAGCATCGTCTTAAACTATCAGGCAATGTTTTCACATCAACACATTATAGAAGCATTTGAGATCAAACTACAAATGCATCAGGGTAAGAGACCAAAAATAAAGCAACATTGTTAAATCCCGGTTTCATTTTAGTGCTTCAATATGTTTTTTTTAATAACTAAAGCATAAATCTTTTGTATAAAACAGTTCAAGGAGTCCAATATACACTAAAAGTAAATCCTTTGATGTTTAACTATTATGTTCACATTCAACATTCACACTTGTATCTTGGAAAGAAAGACTTAACAAAAAGAATAACCTTGTCAAACTGTCACACTAGTAAAAGTGTAATCTTCACTGGTACGAATGAATCAATTTGTCAATCCAAAACCGCATCAACTGAAGACTGTACAAGACTCTTCATCTTTGTTTTCCCAGCAATTTGGAACATCTTGTAATTAAAATGGACTAAATCTGCATTTGCTGTAAAGCATTCCAACCCAAACTGAAATAAAATGATTTAAGTACTTAAACCAGGCACGATGATATTAAGACTTTTTATATTCATATCCTGGGCTTTGAGATTCATTATCAAAATTGAATGTTTTACTTATCTTCACCCTCCCTATGCTTGACATTAGAAAAAACATGTAATCACAGGCATTCTGATAACATTGCACTACATTAAAGACCACTCTTCTCATCTGCAGACACACACTGACTGAGGGCAACATTCTAACTTGCTTGTGGTTGGTTGTAGTTTTGTCTATTTTAGCTTTGCTCTTTGAGTAGAGGCTTAAACAGATCACTGTACTTACATAAACCGATTGACTTTAAAAATTGGGGTCGACAATGTGGTATTCACAAAGACAATTTGCAAACAGCGACTCAAAGAGTAACTCCTGCAGATCACTAGACTGGAGTCATGCTGAAACCTGCCTAAATGGGAGACTGCAGTCACAGTGCAGTTCTTGTGGGCTGCCCTATTACCTGCAGACTCTGTTGCAATTACTGTATTTTGAGAATATGCCTTCACTTAAAATTACGTTCGAGAACAAGCAGGCATCTCTAGTTTATAAGTGAACTATATTTCTTGAGATTTATAAAGATTCCTTGGTTTAAATGGTTCTGCTCATCAAAAGGTTTATTTCCATCATATTCGTGAAATCCCTAACGTCATGCCTCTAAAAACATTTATACTTTAATGTAAGTTAATTTTTTTCATCTTCAAATCAATGGCGTTGACAGGAAATTGAGCCGTCAAGAATCGAACATTAGAGTAGTCAAACACATTGTCTAAGAGTCTGAACTCAGAGCTTTGTACATGTACCCTGATAGATTTCTATTACCTGCACTGTTATATATCTTTTTTTAAAGGACCCGTCCCTTTACAGTGTGTAAAAATCATTGGGGGGGGGGGGGGGGGTGAGAGAGTCGAGGGAAACTGCCCTTTTGGTGGTGGTCGAGTTTTTGACACTTCAATTTTTTTTGTGAATAGTTCCTGCATATAATCTTTGAATGTCTATCTGATAACTATTCCTCTCCCCTTTTCATTTAACCAAGAAGCACCAATGTAATGGCACCAGTTATCAATTTCAAACTGCACTCCCTCCCTCTACCACAAGGACAGGTTAACAGTCCAGCACTTTATGCGGGGAGGGGAAGCGGAGAGAAAACAGGGAAAATTGGGAGAACTGTGACTGGTTACTTTTGGGACCCGTCTCAAGGAGCACAAAAAAGTGTCTGAAAAAAGTGATCAACATTTTAACGAGTGAATAAACAGTTTCTTCACACAAGGAATAAAACCAAAACATAACCACAGTCTTTCATCGATACTGCATAGTTTGAGGGTCATCCCATTGCTACAGCAGCCCAAAGAGCAGAATTAATGCACTTCTTGTTCCTCAGCACTCAAGTCTGAGGAAGAAATACAAAAGCAGCAGTAATTCTAATAATTGTATTAGTACTCAAAACAATTAAGGGAATGGAAGGGGTGAAAAAGGGAATAAGAAAATAAATGCACAAATCCAAACTGAGCATTACATTTTTTTTATATTGTTGACCATAATGAGTGGGGTCTAACATGTGGCAGTTTCTAACAGAGTTCCTTAAGCAAGGAAGCAAAATTATGTTACACTGACTCAACAATATCAAATGACACATCAATTTGTAGGGTTTCTTAAAAAATGTTATAAGAATTGCCGCATTTTAAACCTCAATGCATCAGATTTTGATTAATTTAAGATTTAATCCAAATGCTGTCTCTTACAGATCAGACTGGTGTACCCCTTGTACAGGTCTCCAGGAAAGATACAGCTGTACAGTTCCATATTACCAAAGCTCTGCACCTTCCCTTCATCAAAAGACCAACTAAAAAAGATTTGGTTTCTCAATTCTGCCACTTTTATATAACTATGCCATTCAATTTGAGCAGTAATTCCAGAATATAAATCATTTGCGCCAGGTAACACATACAATGTTCAAAATACAAAGGATGTTCAGTTATCTCCTAGCCTCTGCCCCTGGCCCCAGAAATAGCCTCTTCCCCAACCACGGCCCGGTTCTTCAGCTTGTGGTCTCCTGCTAGTTGGCCGGACTCCAAATCCTGATACGCCTCCTCTCTTTGGGGGAAAGATTCGGGTCCTGGGAGAAGGGAACAGAAACTGGTTTTGTAAATAAAATCTCTCACAAAGGTGTTCAACACTGTATCATTCAGGGAACTCAAAATGGAATTGAATATGTACTCGCAGAGAGATAATAAAACAGGGGGAAAAGGGCTTGGAATTAGAATTATTGTATATACTTCAACTGGCTTAGTTGGTAGCACTCTCTTCGCAGGGTTAGCAGCTGTGGGTCTGTAACCCATGTTTGAACTCATAATCTAGACCAGAGGTTCTCAAAGTCCAAAGTATGGGACTCACATCCCTTGGGAAGGCGTAAAGGAGACACCAATTGCATACCCCACAACGTCCAGTTTTAAAATGTTATTTCTTGTGAGCACAGGAATTGGCTAAGCTGTGTGCGTACATACGTCAGCCTCACGAGAACAGTTCCTGCATTAACCTTGAGAGGCTGGAGCATATGCACACACAGCCCAGCTGCATTCCTGCTCCAATTCAATACAATGTGCTGGCCTCCCTCATGGTTAACTCGGGAATCAATTTGTGAGGCTGGCACATGGGAGCCAATTCCTGTGTTCACAGCTAAGGGTTTTTATTAATTAAAAAATGGGATGTTGGGTAAGTTGTATCTTTGTTTTAAGAAAGCTTTGATTTAAAAAAAATTGTTAGAAAACTTTTAATAATAATCCTTGCATTTGATGAAGCGCTTTTCACGTCTTCTAGACATCTCAAAGTGCTTCACAGAATATACAGTAAAGTGAATTGAATATATATTTGTGGGCGAAATGCAGCAGCCAACTGCACACAGCGGTGTGCAGTCGACACAAACAGTCGAAGATTGAAGCAACCAATTTATTATTCTTGAGGGATTACTATTAGTCGTGTGGAGTAAGGAAACGTGCCCAAGGTTTTGCCTTGCCGGGAATCGAACCCAGGTCTCTTGCTTGCGAAGCAAGTGCTCTAACCACTGAGCTACAGGACTCCACTTTTTGCAGAAGTGATGGCAGTGGAGGTTCCAGCAAAAAGCAGGAGCCGAAAATATGATGATGTTCATTTAAAACTGGAGTAGGTCCAGCAGTACCACTCAGTGTGTTGTATGTGTTGAAGTTCTGGCAAATGTGTTAGTCTTAGTTAACTATGGGAAGGAGCATCTGTATTTTATCTTAGCTTAGAGAAGCTCACTGTAACAAAGTTTGAGATACCCTAGTCTAGACCAATAGTCCACTGCCACGTAGGAGATGCCATCCTTCAGATTAGATGTTAAACCTATCTCAGGTTTACTTGCTCAGGTTGATGTTTAATAATCCTATGACACTATTTGAAAAAAAGGTAAACTAATTATTCACTCCTGACGGCGCCTGCTATCAACTGTGCCAGGCTGACACCATGAAGCATAGGTTTTATAGGTCAAATTATCTCCTTCTGTATTGTAATTTCCATAAGTGTATATACAACACTTCCAATCCCACAATAAAACAAATCACTGTTCTCAGTTACATTACTTACAGAAAACCAGGTGTAGAAAGAAACGTTCTGCCACCGAAATCCTGAGGGTATTTAAACATCAGGAAGTAGTACATGTGTCCAACAAAGATGCCAACAAGCTCATCCACTATCCTGCCAATGGATTTGAAAAAAAGAGAAATGTTAATAAAAGTGCAAAAAGGCATTTATTAGGAGCTTTAGTTCCCATCATTTTACGCTGAAAGATAATGTAAGCAGCACAATGGACTGGCACCAGCACACAGTGCCAAAGAGTATGACATGCACAAATGGCACAATCCCCTATACGACCAATTGCAACATCTATACTACTGCAAGACTAATACTGCTGACTAGGGATCAAACCTGAAACCTCTCTGGTCTGTATGGCTCTGTTCCACATTCAGTTGTCTCTTTACCAAGAAATGTCATTTTTTTATTTGAAACAGATTTGGGGGAATTTTTTGCTTTGAAGGTAAATTAGTTATTCCAATAACACAGCCAATGAAGAATTCATTGGCACCCACCCAGCCTCTTTTTCATTCAATATCTGATCTTAATGGAGGCTGTTCAGTAGCCACCAATGCAAGAAATAAAAACCAACAAATACTACAGGATTTAATGTTAAATTAGTTCAGCAGAAATTATATACTTTGTTTCTATGCTTAAAGCTCATACTTATTCAAAAAGCATTTTATAATGTTATAACATGGCTATACACCAACAAAAACAAGTTGGTTGCTGCTAAAGACTCAATTGCAAAATATATTTTTCCTCTCTCTTCCCCAACCAATTATTGTGCAATTTATTGCATCAGCTGGCTCAGTTGGTAGCATTTTCTCCTCTCGAGCTAGAAGTTTGTGGGTTCAAGCCCTATGTTGGCCCGTGAACTCACATAGTTAAAGCTGACACTCCATTGCAGAGCGGAGGGTGTGCTGCATTGTCGGAGGTACCATCATTCAAATAAGATGTTAACCGAGGCTCATCTGCCTGTTCAGGGGGACGATAAAGATCCTGCAACACTACCACTAAATAAATATTGGTCACTCACTTCATGGCTGTTTGTGGGACATTGCTGCATGCAAATTGATTGCCAGGTTCACCCATAAAACACAGTCACTGCATTTTACAATATATCCTATGAAGCTCTTTGGGACATCCTCCCGACATGAAAAGCACTATATTAAATGTCAAGAGCATTATTATTATTATTAATTCTGCTATAGAATACCTGTGTAAATCAATTCTATGGCTGAATTTTGTACAATAATACAATACAACAGCAGCAAGAATACAACACTACTCACAGTTCTAAAGTGAAGGCTCAGCAGTAGGTGTGGCTGATGATTCCCAATTTCATAGTGCGGTACATTATGCTCCATCTATAACCTCACCCCATAACCCAGCACCAAGCTGTTCCACACATTTGTATTGTATTCATTCACAATTCTATGAGTTCACATTGCTTAGAGCACATTGAATCTATTGCATACTTACGAATTCCTTAGGATATAGTTGAATATTAGCAGAGCCCACGGTAAGTAGCAGGCCTATGAAAACAAAAATATAACATTCATCTGTGAAAATCTGTGAACTTATCTCGATGCCATTTAATAGTTTTTTTTTTACTGATGTATAAAATGATATTGGGTTCTGGTGTTACAATGCACATTAGACCATTGTTAAACACTCAGGCATTATCCCTCATGAAGTGCACTATACACATACAGCTTGTTATTGTTGAAGTTGCTTTGAAATTTGAAAGCAATTAGTACCTGGTAATGTACCTGGGACATTGGATGGACAAAAATAGCAAAATTTGCTTACCTTAAATGTCATCCCAAACCAAAATGTTACAATCTGGTCTTTATTCAGCTGTGCCCACACATATACCACTGTCAGAACAAGTGGAACAAACAGAATCTGCAAGCAGAGAAAAATGATCCCCGGGTTATCACGCAATTGTGGAACAGAAGAAATATTTATAGAAACATTCTAGTGTTCATGCCACTTTTTTTTGGTTCATGCTGCTATTTTGAATACTGCACTACTTAACACATTATTTCAATTTAACTTTCAATGAAATAGAGGCTCGTCACTGTAGCACAAGCCTACAACATCACACAAGCCCAAAAGTTCTGTGTTTCTACCTTGGTTGCCAAGGGGGAAATAATATCAGTCATCTCCATTATTGATTTAAGATGAACTCAAAAGTCATGCAATGTTACAGCACAGACGCAAACTACTCAGTCCATCAAATCTGCACTGGTGCTTTTCTCCACATGAGCCCCCTAAACTAATCCCACTCTACTGTTCTCTCCTTTAATATTCCATTTGTAAAGAATTTGCAAAGTCTGCTTCAACAATTTTGTTAGAGGATTTATAGACTTTTTAAAAATAGAGGGATTAGGGGATATGGGGATAGGGCAGGTAATTAGAGTTAGATCTGAAGATCAGCCATGATGATCTTATGTTCACATTCTCACTACCCTTGATGTAAAGAATTATTTCTAACCTTCCCTTTAAAATCCCTTTGTGGAATTTCATGTGAAATTTGTGGCCTTTTGTTACTCATTCAATGACTAGTGGAAATAATCTATTACTATTTATCCCATCAAAAATATTCGAAGACCTGTCACGTTACCGTCTTATCTTCTCATCTCAGGGAAAAAGACAACTTTTGATTTAAACTGTGGCCCTATTGCAAATAGCCATTGACACTACCATACACTTTCTGTTATTCCGAATCAGCAATCCTCACCTACCCAATACCAAACAAACTAAATAAAATCACTTCTCGTCTGTCACGTAATAACACTAAAAGTTCTATTTTTCTTGCTCTCAAGCTTACATTTAACCAGAGCTTTTACACAATAAATATCAGCATCTAAGCTCATGAATATTTCAACAAATAAAATGCAGCCTTTTCTCTCACTCTCCTCCCCTCCCCCACACACATCAAAATAACAACTGGGCACGTTTCCTTCCGTTCACTTTAAATTTAAACATGAAAAAAAATTTCAGGAAGTACTCTTTCCCCATTCCTTTGATACTCACTGGCATTCCGATGACAAATCCAACTATCTGTTGCAGTATCATTCAGGAAACAAATATTCATTTTGTTTCACGTTATTGGCTATTGTCCCAACAATCTGATGTAAATGGTTCTGAAGTAAAAGATAGGACTGGCTATTGGACACAGGTTCACATGCCTGACATGTCCACACACTTTAGTCACATTGACAAGTCATGAGTTACTGCAGACCCAAATGGCTTTGCCAGACATAACTAATTCAGGGAGGTTCAGTTACAAGGATTTTTAAGACATTTTATCCAACTCAAAAGGATTAATGGACCCATTGGGATTTGACCCCAGACCCTTTTGTTCCCTAGTCTCATTGCTCAGCTAACCTGGACTAACTGGGTTATCCTTTTACAGATGTATACTGAAAAAGCTACCTTCATAACATGGGATTAGCCTAAAATAAATCAAACATATTCATATATCGTCTGAGGTATATACTCAATGGGAACAATTGAATAAAAGTGGTGTTTGTTTATCACAGGGACGGCTTCTATTAAATACATTATGGAAAAAAAAGGAAAGAGCACAAGCAAGTTTCATTCCAGGAAGGGTGGTTAAGGCCAAAACCCTGGACTAATTTTTTTTTAAAAAAAGCTTGCTACAGTGAGGGGTAGATAGTAGAGTAGGTATTCTGGAAGGATTAAATCAAATGGGCCAAAGAGCCTTCTTCATCCAAACTAATCTTATGTTAGATGAAAGTTAGATGACTAGGCAACATTCCTTGACAACATAAAGGATACCACCGTGCAAATCCAGTTGAAAAACAACATAAATACGTAATCGGCTGTTCTTCCAAAGAAATCTGAAAGAAAAGAGAAAGGATTATTTTTCCAGCTGCCTGATCAAATGCTTCAAATCACTCAAGATGTTTGAGACAGCACAGACCCTCCTCAACCAGAGTCAAGTTTGAACTTAGTCTAAAAAAAGTGGTGAAAACTTTCACTCAGACATCTATTCCAAGAGGAGGTACCATCAATCGAACCACTCAACACATATGATTGGTTAGCTCAAACCTTTTAAAAATAAATCGTCTTAAACGATAAGTGTTGATAAGTAAACCGACTTTTCAATGTAAAACTTGACTGTGCAAGCGAGTTGAATGCACATGCACATACGTACAATATATATGGCACAAATTGTAGATATCCTGAATTGAAGATTGCATCGATATCAATGGGTACCTAGTCGTTAGGGCTCTGTTGGAATTGTCTGACCTGGATTCCACTCAGATTAGAACACAACCTCAAGTAACACTTATCAGACCTGCAGTTTTGAGGTCCCCCTTCAATGTACCTAAATTTCAACAGCATGACAGAATCAACTCTTCTCTCTAGGGATTGAGCAGGAGAGTGGCATTTATTTGGGTTGATGTGAAGAAAACACTAGCATTGATGGGTTGAAAGGGTTGAAAGGTCTCAAGACCTTTCTCTTCGACCGTGCCTTCAGCTCCCCTCTCGACTCTCTAGCCCCTCCTCGCTACCTCCCTTCCCTCCCCTCACCCTGACCATTTCCCCCCTGCTCGGGTCCTGACCCAACTGTACAGCGCCTTGGGACGTCCTCCTGATGTGAAAGGCGCTCTATAAATGGAATCTTGTTGTTGTTGATCTAAACCTTGGGGAGCCTAGGAATAAAGTATTATAATGCAGAGTACTTTCAAGTCCAGTGGCTCAACAAAGAGAAGCCTTCTCTCTAAAACATCAGGGAAGACATCTAGTTCTATTCTTGTCCTGAAGCCATGCAAGATTATTTTACATATGAAACTCTACCACCTTTCCGGACAATTTTATGAAAGGCCAAGTTGGCTTTCTAATCAGAGGGCTTAAATTCCAATCTCCAGGGATTTGGCAATTTCAGCGATGAGGAAATCCCACTAGAAGTTGACATCATCCATACCACCACATGCAATGCAACCCTCTGAATTTTAGCCCCCTGATGTTCACAAGACAAAAACATACCTCTTTCCAAGTTGGAGGAATAAGAATACAGAAAATAAAGCTGAATCAGGTAATGGAATCCCATCGGGTAGAAGAGACATGCTGTTATCGGTCTCCATATCTGTGAACAAACGATAAGGTTGGTTCTTTATTATTTCCATGCATAGCACCAATCTAGTGAGGAAACAGACCATGGAACACTTTATGTGTTCTTCAATGCTTTAAATTCGTAGTCTTAAAAAAAACTGCTGAAATATTGCACTTTGTTTTATTAAATAGAATGATTAAAACGTCTTCTGACCCAAGTCCACCCATGCTGAACCAGATCCTCTGCAAATTGTGGATGAATCCTCATGTGAAACAGATCATCGAATGCCAAAATTAGCAGAAAATGTTAGTTTGCTAACCTAAAGCACACAGCTTACATTTGTTAGAAACTGAGGAGCTACCGGTGGGCTTGATGTATTTTCAGTGGGATGGCCAGTGTCTGAGTTGTAATGTAATGGCTCAGACTTGGGGTCAGGTCATCTGGGAACCCGGCTGCACATCTAGGAAAGGAGCAAGAGGCACAGAGTTCCCCAAAAGAGGAGAGCCAGAGTAAATAACCCCCAAAATTGAGAGTTTCACCCTTTCAAAATAAAAGAAAAAGAAGTAACATATCAAACTCCAATTTAATCAAATATGTCTAATGGGAATTAAATATTTGGGTAAGTACACATACAATAGCCAACCAGCCCTCACAAATCTTCCTTCCTGCACATTTCCCTCAGTTGTATTTCTCTAAAAACTGCAGCTAAGGCATAAAACCTTGTTTAAATCCTTCTCATAATGATTAGGTTTGGCGTTCTTCAAAATGCAGCAAAGTCCAGTGTCCAGATCAGAAAAAAAACAAGCATTTACTAATCATTGGCAACGCTTGAATAATTCTGAAAACCCAGACCCAATTGTATAAAATACAAAAATACTACATTTTATACAATTTAGAAAAACTTCACATAACCTTTATCAATGTCTATTTGTTCACACTTTCCTAACCTCTCTTCCAACTGGCACATTTTGTTTAGTATCTTGAAATCTGCATGGCTGGGTTTATGAACAGTGGAAACATCAAATCCTGTTCAGACTTTGAAGAATCCCATAGAATCCTGCACATAAACAACACTCCCATGCGGCTAGTTTTAAAGTACTGCATTCATTTGAATCTTAGGAGCAGATTTGTTTTCATTAAAATAAACCTCCAAAATCAGGGTGCACTTTAGAATTGATGGTGTTATAGGAATTGCAACAAAGATCTTTTTCCCCGCTCTAAAATCATTAAATTCAAGCCTTGTGCCATGAACAGCAATCAGCAGTAAGATTTGAGGTTTAAATTCACCAGCTTTTTTTAAAAAAAATCACAGAACAGCACCAGCCACACAGAAAATTTAAACAGTTTTCACATTTAAAGACCATTACAACATGCTGGGGCTTGGTGATGTTTACTTGGATAAAGAGAAGGCCATTCTCAACACATCTTTTCGGATGTGTGAATGCAACTGGAAACTAACAAACGTGTTCATTTTTAAAAATGAGGCTGTCTGTGCCTGGTATGGCCTCTCTCTCTCCCCCATCCCTGTATTGTAGACACACTACGCAGAAAATTCCTTAACAATTATAATTCTGCAGTCAACGTGACCTTATCTGTTTACCAACGATATCCTTCTTGATAGCTATTATGGCAAGCTGTCCCTCCTCGGTGGAGTATTCTCTCCATCACCTGTGTTGACCATTCCTTTCCAGTCTAATGCCTACCTCTCTGTATGCCTAGATGACCAAATACTGTACTCAAATGCTGGTCTTTCTAGCTCCATTCACAAACTTTAATTCATCCATAACTACAGTACATTTGCACAGATATAGTACAATATTTTGCTTGCATCTCTCAATGCCAAATTCGTAAAACTAGTTGAAGCTTGTCCCTCCTCAGTGGAGTATTCTCACCATTGCCTCTTTCGCTCTCATTTTTTTTTACTGAGAATAAAAAAAGTCTAATTATCGTATCAGATTATGTAATAATGGACCAAAAAAAAGCTTCCTAAATTGACTCGTTATCCTTTAATCCCTAGTACTCAGTACAAAGTCACTTATTCCTGTTGAATCACATTTTCTGCTCAATTGAAATTTTAACAGCACACAGGCTATCAGAATGTCATACTTTTAGATACTGTGAGTGGAATTGATAACTAGAAAATAATTCATCATGTCCTTGCGTAAATATTCTTTTAAATAAAAAAAATCAGAATTCCTCTAATATAAATGCTACTTATATTTCCATCTGGAGACCCTCTGTCTCACCCCCGATCTCGCCTCTTTCAAGGCCAGTCTCAAGGCTTTCCTCTTTGACCGTATCTTCGGTCATCTTCCCACCTTCATCCACATCGCCCTCCACTCCTCTCGACTCCAACCCCCAGATCGCGTGCAAACACTTCATTGTCCAACGGCGCCTATGAAAGTCCTCCCAACGTAAAAGGAGCTATAAAAAGGCTGCCCCTCCAGCAGGGCTCAGCATTGCCCCTCCCCAGCAGGGCTCAGCATTGCCCCTCCCCAGCAGGGCTCAGCATTGCCCCTCCCCAGCAGGGCTCAGCATTGCCCCTCCCCAGCAGGGCTCAGCATTGCCCCTCCAGCAGGGCTCGGCATTGCCCCTCCCCAGCAGGGCTCAGCATTGCCCCTCCCCAGCAGGGCTTGGCATTGCCCCTCCCCAGCAGGGCTTGGCATTGCCCCTCCCCAGCAGGGCTTGGCATTGCCCCTCCCCAGCAGGGCTTGGCATTGCCCCTCCCCAGCAGGGCTCGGCATTGCCCCTCCCCAGCAGGGCTCAGCATTGCATTGTTAAAGACGGGACCACAGTTTAAAGATTTATCAATGAGCCAGACAGGCTGGGGTCCTAATAATCGGTCTCCATGGGTAGGGAGGAGGAAAGAAACAGCTAGGATTCTTAGTCCAGATCATCTATATACTAATAAAACGACAATGTCTGCATGTGTGCATTTCAAGAAGGATCTCAATAACCGATTGATGTAGAGACATGATTTATACCTCATTGGAAGGTCTTGCACCTAGGAGTGACATGGGCATGTTTGTTTTCAGATATCTATTATCGTTCGTGAGTTATGACCTAAAATGTATTGCAGTTTTGCGTTTTACGCTGCAGTCACACCTGGTGGCCACGCTGGCTGACCGTGATGCTGTGGCATCCTGCGTCACAGAGCACACACGTAGCCAAGCAGCGTCAGGACCAAATAAAGAAAACAGATTAAGCTAAACCGTGGCAACAACAGCAAAATTACATATTTAAAGCGCCTTTCATGTCCAAAGGAAGTCGCAGTGATTATAATAATAATAATCCTTGCATTTGATATAGCGCTTTTCACGTCTTGAGACGTCTCAAAGTGTTTCACAGAATATAATGTAAAGTGAATTGACTGTATATTTTGTGGGTGAAACGCGGCAGCCAATTGCGCACAGCAGTGTCCCACAAACAGTTGTGGATTGAAGCGACCAATTTATTGTTTTTTTTCTTGAGGGATTATTATTGGGCGTGTAGAGTAAGGAAACTTGCCCAAGGTTTGGCCCTGCTGGGAATCGAACCCAGGTCTCTCACTTGCCAGGTGAGTGCTCTAACCACAGAGCTACAGAACTCCTAAGGAACCCAGGAGACTCGTGTTACACTTTGGGTTGTCAACCCTACCAATAACATAAATACTCAATACTCAGGGTGACTGAAACCTTGAATCCATTTGGTTAAAAAGTGATCTTATAGAGATTAAACGATTGGAAAAATATAAGACTTTATATTTTTATATAAGCTGATGTTTAAAGAGTAAATGATTTTACAGTATCTTATTCTCAAAGATGCTCAACTGTACATTTAAAGCAGTGTATTTCTACAGTTTAACTCAGTCTATTCCAATAGTATGCATAATACTTACAGTACAACTTGCAGTAAAGTCAATATCTAATGATATTTTGAAGGCCTCTTTAAGTACAGTTCTGTTTTCATTATATTAAATTATACACCTATATTTATCAATTTAAAGATGCTTAAGCGAAAATTAAACCTTTCAAGGATAAGTAAAAATCCTAGACAAAAGAGAGAAGGCCCACAAAATGAAACTGAAGACCAAAGAACAGCGAGGCTGTACTTAAATGCTGAAAGGACTGCAACAGCGTGCCAAAATGAGTTGCCCACTCAAAGAACAGTGGAGCCAAAATGAGTCCTCCCATAGGATTCCTCCCAGATGAGTATAGATAAAGATGAAATATCTGTCTGTGTGCCAATCTACATTCCATATTGGATGCTTTGGTTGCAAGCAAAGCTGCAACAGGTACAGCTAGTTAGTCTATAAAGTGCACCTGCCGGGAGACTGACAGTTCAGAATACGTGAATGTGGATGTTCTTTGGTTTTAGTCCAGCGGCCCTAAACTATGGCTCAGTTGGAACCGCTCTCGCCTCAGAGTCAGAAGGTTGTGGGTTCATTCACCACGTTGGGACTTGAACTCATATAATCTAAGATCCAATGCTAGTGCTGGGGGTTTGTTGCAATGTTGGAGGTGCCGTCCTTTGGATGAGACTTAAAACATAGTGCTTACTCAAGTAGACAGTTTTCTCCTGGTGCCCTGGTCAACAATCCCCAATAAAATTAGTCATTCACGTTCCGACTGTTTGTGGGACAATGCTGTGGCAGCTTGGCTGCTGTATTTGGCCACAAAATAGTCACTCCGCTTTACAGTAAACCCTGTGCAGTGCATCTACTTACATTTGATTGCTTTAGAATTATATTCTAAATTATAAGGCAGTCCTCTTAATTGAGGGTTTCACAGGATGTTGCAAAGCATGAGCATGGAAATTAAAATCTTAAAAATCATTTCCAGGTCACAAGAATTATAATTCTGTCCAAACACAAAAAACAATAGTACATGCAAGCATAACTTATTCTGGCTCCTTAATTGAACAGTTTCCATCCCTTTTTGGCCTGTGCTGCAGGAAGAGCTGACATTGGAGGATCAAAAAGTGACCTTGCTATGAACGCTTGGCCATAACAAGCCAGTTATTCCTGTGGTAACCCTTTCATAGCAGAGTGTGAGCACTGGTACAGTCCAACCCGTCTTCAACAACATCTCAGGGGACTGGGCCAAAGTGGGATTTATATAAGAGTGGCCTCTGAGAAAGTGTTTGTTGATCCAGAGTGGTTGTTGCTGAGTGGAGGTGGTTGCTTGAACAGGTTTGATTGTACATCAAGAAAAGTTGAATCCCCTTTAACCCAGGAAGATGCAAGGAATAGTATAAGCCACAACTTCGGCCTGCCCAAGTGGAGAGCTAGAATTTACTTCGAAAGAAAAGCCAACTTAATGCTCGCAAATCCATCAACTATTTGAACTAATATAGTTACCCACACGTAGGTTGCTTGTAACAGATGTCTCCTCACTTCTCTGCAGTACTGTGGTTGTTACTTGAGCATGCTACTGCTACAGACTCACCAGCTGCACTTCTATATATAAACTTAGTGCACACACACACATTTCATTTACAAAAAATACGCTTGTACCGCTGCAGCAGTACAATACAGAGGTGCAGTTTGCCTCGGCTTACACAACTGCCTGTGACCAAGGATTTCACTGGAGTGAAACTTAATGGAGCTTGTGGTTTTCAGGACAACAGCAGACTACAATTGGCCTCGATAGCTGAGGACTGTGGGAGATTGGAAGGGGCAGGACCTCAATGCTTGAGGGTTGCAGCAATACGTAAGCATCACCCAACATGAGTCAGCAAATTCAGAAGTGAGAAAATGATACAGGCAAAGCCGTAAGCTGTGTTCTGAACTTCTTTAGCTCTTAAAATGTAGTTTGTCATCAGTAAGCCTTAAACTCAGAACTTCAGAACTCTGCAGCTCGTGTACTGTCCCGCACCAGGCTTCGTGACCACATCACTCCCACCCTCGCTCGCCTCCACTGGCTCCCCATCCCCCAGAGGATTGATTTCAAGATCCTCATCCTCACCTACAAGGCCATTCACGGCCTCACTCCCTCCTACCTCTCCGACCTACTATCCCCCTACCTACCTGCCCGTACCCTCCGTTCCTCCGGCTCCGGTCTGCTCCACATCCCCCGCCCCAACCGCCCTACCATCGGTGGTCGGGCCTTCAGCCTCTCAGCCCCGAGGCTCTGGAACTCTATCACCCAGTGCCTTCGCCACCTCCTCCCTTTCCTCCTTCACGGCCGGTCTCAAGACCTTTCTCTTTGACCGTGCCTTCAGCTCCCCTCTCGACTCTCTACCCCCTCCTCGCTCCCTCCCTCCCTCCCCTCACCCTGACCATTTCCCCCCTGCTCGGGTCCTGACCCAACTGTACAGCGCCTTGGGACGTCCTCCCGACGTGAAAGGCGCTCTATAAATGCAATTTTGTTGCTGTTGTTAAAGATAACTGAGTAAAATTCTGAATGGCAATAAATGGCATTTCTGTAAGCCTATATATTTTATATATAGTCCCGTAGCTTAGTGGTTAGAGCACTCGCCTTGCAAGCGAGAGGACCTGGGTTCAATTCCCGGCAGGGAGAAACAATTACTCCACATGCCTCTGTTCCTACTAGCAGTAAGTAGGAACCCAGTTGTTAGTCGATTGGTGGATCGCTTTTCCAGGGGTAATTCCTTCAAAATAAAAATAATTCATTATTTTTATTTATGGTCACTCAATCCACGACTGTTTGTGGGACACCGCTGTGCGCAATTAGCTGCCGCATTTCACCCAAAAAATATACGATCAATTCACTCTACAGTATATTCTGTAACGTGCTTTGAGACGTCTCAAAGACGCTACATAAAATGCAAGGATTAATATTATTATGATCTGCTGCAATGATTTTGAAGACAGATTCTAAAAGCGAAAGCAAGGCTAACAAACCATGCCTTTTATTAGAATAATTTAGTTCTTATAAAGGAGTACAACGCAACATGTTAACCTTCCTTTCTTTTTATCCTCGTGTGTATTTCCATAGGAACCTAATAATAATCCTTCCATTTGATAGTGTTTTTCACGTCTTCTAGACATCTCAACAACATCTTGGATTTATATAGCGCCCTCCACGCCGGACAGCAGCTCAGAGCACTTCACAGTAATGGCTCCCGGGGCCGAGCCAGGGGAAGGGGGGGGAAGGTGACCAAAGGCGCAGTCGAAAAGAAAGGTCTTCAGCAGAGACCTGAAAATAGGAAGAGAGGGGGTGAGGCGAAGGGAGTGAGGCAGGGAGTTCCAGAGCCTCGAGGCGTAGAGGCTGAAAGCACGGCTGCTGAGGGTGGAGCGGAGGACTCGGGGGACAAGGAGGAGGCCAGACCCGGAGGAACGAGGAGCATCTCAAAGCGCTTCACAGAATATACTAATAATAATAATAATCCTTGCATTTGATATAGCGCTTTTCACGTCGGGAGGACATCCCAAAGCGCTTCACAGAATATACTACAAAGTGAATTGACTGTATATTTGTGGGCAAAACACGGCAGCCAATTGCGCACAGCAGTGTCCCACAAACAGTTGTGGATTGAGTGACCAAATTATTATTTTATTATTTTTTTCTTGAGGAATAATTATCAGGCATATGGAGTAAGGAAACTTGCCCAAGGTTTCGCCCTGCCGGGAATCGATCTCCGGTCTCTCGCTTGCGAGGCGAGTGCTCTAACCACTGAGCTATAGGACTATAGGAACAGTAGTAGGCCATTCAGCCCTTCGAGCCTGTTCCGCAAATCAATTAGATCATGGCTGATCTGTACCTCAACTAATTCTGTCAATTCTAATTTCCTGCTTTTTCCCCATATCCCTTGATACCTTGAACTATCAAAAATCTATGAATCTAGAAACCTATAGGATCATCAAAGGGCATGATAGAGTAGATAGTGGGAGATTGTTTCCCCTGGTTGGAGAAACTAAAACCAGGGGTCACAACCTTAAAATCAGAGGCCAGCCCTTTTGCACTGAGTTGAGGAAGAACTTCTTCACTCAAAGGGTAGTGAATGTGTGGAACTCACTACCCCAAAGGGCTGTTGACGCTCAGTCCTTGAACATATTCAAGACTGAGATAGATATGTTTCTTATTGCAAAAGGGATTAAGGGATATGGGGTTAAGGGGCTGGGTCAGGTTATTGGCTGGAGTTAGATCAGCCATGATTGAAGGCGGGGCAGGCTCGAAGGGCCGAATGGCCTACTCCTGCTCCTACATGTTATGTTAAACTCACTCTTGAAGATGTGGATGGATCCAGCATCCACAGCCTTTTGGGGAGAGAATTCCAGATTTCTACCACCTTTTGAGTGAAAAAATGCTTCCTGATTTCACTCTTAAATGGCCTGGTTTTAATTTTAAGACTATGCCCCCCTTGTTTTGGATTCCCCCACCAGAGGAAATAGCTTCTCTGCATCTACCCTATCAAATCCCTTTATCATCTTAAATACCACAATCAATCCAGGTTTACGCAGCTTTTCCATGTAACTTAACCCTTTAAGGCTTGGTAACATTCTGGTGAACCCGCTCTGCACCCTTTCCAGGGCCAATTTGCAGCAATGTTCTGATTTTTATTTCAGAAATTGCAAGGTTTTCTGTGCAGTACAGCCTTACTACCCCTCTACACATAAAATGTTACAATGATAAACAGCAATACTTTGTGAAATCTGGGTTAATGATTTTGAAAAAAAATCAGTATTTTCCACCCCATCTCAGAAGTCGCACTACGTTTACAAAAATAGGTAAATATAACAAAGCCTGACTCAGATGCTAACTCTCTTGCCTCCAAGTTAGAAGTTGTGCATTCAAGCCCCACATAGGGACCTTGAATTCAGTCTAGCTTGTCACTCCAACGCAGTCAGAGGAGCCAAACTTTGGATGAGACATTAAACCGAAGTCCCACCTGCCTGTAGAGCTCGAAAAGAATTGTAGTTTCTTCTGATGTCCTGACCAACAACCTCCCAATTAAAATTATTCATTTCGTGGCAGGTAAATGCACCACATTCACCTGGTTACAAATAAATAGCCAATACACTTTACAGAAAAATTCCGTGAAGAGCTTTCTAACAATCTCACAATGTGATAAGTCGCTATAATACTTGCGTTTGACCTAGCACTTATACAACTGAAAAACCTCAAAGCACTCCACAGGATTTTATATTAAGGTGCATGATTGTATTTGCTGGCTATATTAACACATTTGGACCAAAGGTCACCTATGGATTCTCTACATTCAATTCAATGACATTTCACAATAATATAATTGATATATCCGAGTAATCATTGAACCACTGCCTAACAAGGAGCCACATTCCTCCTTAGCAGCTTACTCACCGCTCCACACTAACCACATTCATCAAGGAAGCAAAAATAAGATTTTGAGGACGCATCAGTGGTATTGAAAGTAGTTGGTTTGAAATTACATGACTTTAAAGAGTGTGTGGGGGGGGAGTGAACTTTCATTGCAACTGTAAACCCTGATCTCTGAAGACCAGCTGCACTGTAACACGTAGGAGGGAGGGAGGGAGGGGTGGAGGGTGGAGGGGGAGGGTAGGGGTGGAGGGGATGGAGGGAGGTGGGGAGGGTAGGGGTGGAGGGGATGGAGGGAGGTGGGGAGGGTAGGGGTGGAGGGGATGGAGGGAGGGGGGGAGGGTAGGGGTAAGGGGGGAGGGGAGGGGGTAGGGGGGGAGTGGGGGGGGGAGTGGGGGGAGGGGAGGAGTGGGGGGGGGAGTGGGTGGAGGGGTAAGGGGGAGGGGAGGGGTGGGGGGGTGGAGTGGGGGAGGGGTAGGGGGAGGGGAGGCCTGATCCAGTGAGGGCTGAAGTCAGGCGTTTACAGTGAAAGCTCCGCCTGCGGTCGAGCGAGTCCTTACCTGGAAGCGGTAGAAGAAAGGCTCGGCCCACAGCACCAGGGACCTGCCGCTCACCAGGCTCAGCCTCTCCAGGACGGGCACCACCACACTGCCCGTGAACCAGCACCTGGTGACCGGGGGGATGCTGCGGTACCACTCTCCCAGGCCGCTCTCAGCCATCGCCGCTCCTCAGGCCCAACAACCGCCACCTACAGTGAGAGAGAGAGGGAGGGAGGGCGGGGAGCAGTTGGAGCCCCTTTCCCGGGGCCCTGTGGCTTTCAGGGCAACGACTCAAAAGTACCCGACGCTCACTCTCGCCTCTCCTCCTGACGTGGCTGCCAGAAATTACGCGAGTAGCCCAACATCCGCCAAAACACGAGCCCAAATTGTTACACGGCGGCTGCCTGCAGGCGGGCAGACCCAGGGGCTGGTGTCGGGCGAAACCCTGGTGAGGAGAAGGTCCTCTCGGACGGGAGGGGGCGAGGAGGAGGGGGCGGGCAACGTTTTGCAGGTTCACGTTGAACGTTGGGGGCCGCGCGGCTTTTTTTTCCCCCCACACAGGCACAGGAAATACCCGCCCAATTGGGCTCGAAGCCGCCCAAACTGCTCCCATTGGTGGCTGCCGCCCGGCAGGGGGTGCGCATGCGCGCGCCGCCGGCCGGGCCGGGCTGTGTGTGAGGGGGATTGGAAAGGTTCCGGGCGGGTTCGGGCGGGTTGGGCGGGCGGGGGATCGGGAGGCAGAGGCCCGGGCGCAAAGGGAGGTTCCGCGGGCCCAGAGCGTCCCGGGAGCCCGCGTTCCCGAGACAAAGGGCCAGAGTTCCGGGGACAATGGCTGCGTTCTGAGCAGCGGCGGGTGGGGTTGACAGGGGGCGCGGGCGGCGCGCGGGCGGCGCGGGGCGGGAGGGCGGGCGGGCGTCAGAGACACAGAGAGCGCTTCCCGGTGAGGGCTGGCGCTGAATGGAAAATTTATCCCCACAGGTCAGGGGTGTAACTAAGGTGACAGGAGGGACAGACACCCAGACTGGTCAGTCAGGGCTCTTCCTCAGCCGTATGCCCACCCAACCCATCGAGGACGAGCATTGCTCCCAGGCCTTTTAGAGAGGATGAGGTGAAATGTACAGACAGACTAGACCTACTGTTTGCCAGAGGATGTGGAAGCCGGTTGGAGCCATAAATTCAAAAAAGCCTGAAACAGGACCAACACCAACAACAAATTACATTTGTATAGCGCTTTTCACGTCGGGAGGACGTCCCAAGGCGCTGGGAGATTGAAGACCAAGACAAGACCAGAGATTGAAAGACATGTTTCCTAACACAGCATTGGGATATGTGAACAGACTATCAAGTAAAAGCATGGATTAACTCACTCCCAACAAAAAAGTTGGATGTCTATCTGCCTGAGAACTGTTTTGGAGGGTAATGTCTTGAGTTGGGCGAGTGTTTCATCAAACGATGATTTGGTGCTGCGGGAAATCATGGCAAGTTAATTCAGTCTGTGGAGGGGGACATGCCAAGCTTTGATGGTGCAGAAAGAGACTTGGAAGAATAGAATGAAATTTGTGTTTGATTTGGGGGGATCAGAGAGTATGCAGAATTTCGGGCGATGAAGTGGGTAAGGCGTTGTCCACAATAGGCCTTGGTAGACAGTGCCGTTTTCCGGTTCTGTTCTTATGATCCTCAATACTGAAGAGTGTCTCGTTCAGCAACTCAATACAGACCTTCAGAGTAAATAAGAATAAAGACTCCTTTCTGTGTGCAGAAAAGTTATAGTCAATGCACTTTATAGTATATTCTGTGAAGCGCTTTGAGACATCTCAACTACGTGATAAGATGATATATCAAATGCAAGGATTATTATTTTATTGTAGAGCCACTTATCCGCGCTCCAGATAACCACATGCAAGTATTCTTATTGGCCAGGTTTGTTTGTGCATGTGCCTTTTAAGCAAAGGTTAGATTGTTCACACATGTGTGATTTAACCAATGGTGGGATTTTTTTGTCCATGCACATAGCGATCACATGGTGGTATGTTACAGCACGGCATTGTATAGAGGAAATTTTAAATTCTGCAAGATACTGTTTAATACATTATAATCTGTACACTATATTTCCGAGTATGGAGCGCAAGAAAACGGCCAATAGAAAAAGAATTGTGCTCACCATTGAAGAGAAGCTCAATATCATACGACGGTTAGAAAATGGCGAATCAGCAGCAAAACTTGCTTCTGATGTCAACTTGGGCCTCCGAACGATCTATGACATTAAGAGAGCAAAAACAAAGTTATGGAAATTTTTTAAGAAAACGGACAGTAGTGCAGGACCATCATATCTGAAAGTCATCAAAAAGTCTAAGTTCCATCAAGTGGATGATGCTGTGCATCAGTGGCTCCTTCAGCTTCGTGCTACAGGAGCTCCTATCTCGGGCTTCATGGTCATGGAGAAAGCACGTCAGGTTCACAAAGAGTTGGGTATAGAACAGCCGTTTTTAGCCAGCTCTGGCTGGCTTCGCCACTTTAAAAGGCGCCGTGGCATCAGGGCACTAGCACTGTTGGATGAGAAACCTTCAGCAAATTTGTCAGTAATCCAGTCAACTAAGGAGACATTTGAGAAACTTTGTGAAGACCAAGATCTAAACCCAGAGCAAGTGTACAGTGCAGATGAAACCGGTCTATTTTGGAAGTGCCTGCCGACTTTTACACTCGCGACCAAGCAAGTAGAGACAACTCCTGGCATCAAAGTCAGTGAGGAGCGGGTGACGGTGCTCGTGTGTTCAAACGTTACAGGTACGCACAAACTTCCACTTCTTGTCATTGGCAAATTTGCGAGGCCAAGAGCATTTAAAGATTTAGACATTCATCAATTACCTGTTGATTATTACCACCAGAAAAAGGCCTGGATGACTCGGGACATCTTCCGTTCTTGGTTCATATATAAATTTGTTCCAGCAGTGAAGCTACGCATGAACATGGTAGGATTACCACACAAGGCTGTACTTCTTCTTGATAATGCTCCAGTACATCCTGACGATGGCTCTCTTTGCTTTGGGGACATCACTGTTTATCACCTGCCGTCTGATGTTAGAGCTATGCTGCACCCAATGGAACAAGGTGTTCTCCAAAATTTGAAACTGCACTACAGGAAGGATCTGCTGAGTAGTCTTGTCTTTGGTGTAGAAAATGATCTGTTGGCATTCTCAAAGTACTACAACATTAAGCACGCCGTGTATTCCATTGCCACGGCCTGGGAGAAGGTGGACCAGATAACGCTGCAACGTTCATGGAGGAAGCTATGGCCTTGTATTGAGGAGAGTGAGGAGCTCATTCAGGAATCAGAAGAGGAGCAGGAACAGGACTCTCTTGTGGAGAATTTTGTGGAGAATTTAAGAAATGTGCCAGGATATGAAGATGTCAACGGCGAAAATGTTTCTGAATGGCTTGTGGTTGACAGTGCAGATCCAGGATACAGGTTATTAGATGACACAGAAATTACTGGTGATGTGCCAAGTACAAAGGTTGAAAACAGCAGTGAGGAAGAAGAAGAGGAAGAGGAAGAAGAGGAGGAGGAGGGAGAGTTGGACGAGAAATCAAATGAGGTGGTGGAGGTGGTAGTTGAAGAGGAGATGTTAATGTTGAAGGTGAAGGAAGAGGAAGTGGAGGACAAGAAGGTGGTGGAAGTGGAGGTAGAATTAGACGAGGAGATGGTTGATGTGAGTAAAATTTCCCATAAGAAAGCAGTTCAAGCATTTGACACTGTCATTCAATATTTAGAGGGGCAATCGGATACGGAAAGACAAGATATTTTGCTTTGTATGGCCCTGAGAGACCGAGCACTGGAAAAGAAAAACCATTACTTGAAGTAGAGTGATCACTAGCTTTCCATCAACTTTCTCTTCACTTCCTTCAACATGGAAACAATAAACATTTGGAACTCCTTCAGAAGTAGGAACAATGTTCTGGGTTACAGTATTTTAATTATTTATTGTTCAATTTGTATCAGAAGAGCAGGGGGTAAAGGCCTGAAAAAGATTGCCTAAACAGGGTGGAGTGAGACTACAAAGAGATTTGAAGACCCAGACAAAGATCTAAAAATCTCATCACATGTCTTATTCACCATTAAAATGGCAAGTCTCATCAAGCCAATTCCATTCCCATCTATTGAAAAGTTAAAAGCCTGCAAGGAGGAGAGAATATAAAATGAAGCACTTGGTGCATTTTTTAAAGGCTCAACAAAATTTGCAGCTGTTTAAAAACAATTGACTTGTCCAAGCAAGTAAATTGGCCACAAAGACTATTTACTTTGGTACTGTAATATATTGAGCTGATAACACTCTTAGTTTTTATATTGTTTAGTAAATAAAGTTGGTATATTTGTTTTGTTTATAAACGGTGTGGTAATGTTGACTTTTCAGAGGGAGTCTGTTAACTTGTCTGTGAACAAGTCATGTCCAAGATGCACTCCAATCGATTTGGTGATATAGTTAATCCCTTGGGCACACACTTAGGAACGGCTAGGAAGCATAGATACAGGCTCCACGATTTGGAGGATAAAAATGTCAGTTACAAAAACTTGCTCAGCCATTTATGAGAGGTAAAGATCCTGAACAATTGATATCAGTAAATACAGGATGACCAAAAAGTCATAACTCCTATTATCTAAACAAAAAATCATAATTTCTTTAAGACTTATTAGACATTGTAATGGTATCATGAATTTTTGGTCACCCTGTACATATAAAAATAGCAATGAACTAAGAAAATAATTATAAAATAAAGTATTCTGTATCAAAGTAATGTATAAAAGGAGAATACAAATCGAAGTTGATGTTTATAGTTACAAATCACATTGGGGCTAGCACAAGCCATTCAATGATGATGGTTGAATCCGAAATGGGAGAACCTGACTTTCAGATTCTTGCTGTTGCTGTGCATTTCTAGCTGTTTCTCATTTGATTTTATACATCAGTTCTGTTTGCAAACATCATGAGTTATGCATCCGTTAGCACAGGATAATTTGTGTTCTATAAATTGCTGATCTTCAATATTTATCCTACAAATAAAACATTGCTGCCTTGACATGTACAGTATTCTGTATATATTTGGTGAATATATAGAATGTTTTATTAATAATAATTAGCATACCATGGGAGAGTGGGAATAAAGAGGTTAAATGGATTAGGAGTGGAGACTCATGTGGAGTATAAACTCCGGCACGGACTAATTTGGCTGAATGGCCCATTTCTGTGCTGCAGTGTTCATATAATTCTATGCATTTATATAGCACCTTTGTGTAAAATAAACATCCCAAAGTGCTTTATAAAATACAGTATAATTAGTTAAAAATAAAAGTATGCAACCAATCTGCGGCAGCAACATCTATAAACCAATGAGGTGAGCAGCCAATTAATTTGAATTTAGGGATAAATTTAGATAGAGGAGAGAAATATAGACAGGTTAAGCAGCAGAAAGACTCCATCTTTCTTTGAAATGGTAATGGCAGAATGAACCCGCAGGTCCCGGAGAGACGTAAATTAACAATGCTCAAAAAGGTGATTTATGAAAGTAAATAAACTTCTGCATAACATTGGAATGGTTAGGCAGGTAAATGTGTCAGCCGATCTATTAGCAATAATTTTCCATGTACGCTTCCTTTTAAAATTTCAGATTTTATTTTTTTTACACACCAGGTAATTGCAAGTCAACAGCTTGGCAGTTATTTCTTTGCAGCCTGCCCATAGTCACCATGCAATAGACTTTATTTAAGTTAAAACAAAACCAGAGCAAGCAAACCTTAAGGAGTTAAGATTTAAGATTTAAAAAGCAAAATGATTGCAAACTCATTAAAACACCTAAAACAATGTACAATTACACATTCCTTTTTATAATGTGCCAAAGCATCAAAACAGGGTTACTTACTAACACGCTCCCTCCCCGCCCCAAATAAGCAAGGATCACAATTGGTAGATCTAGGTTAAATCATTGGCCATCTTCCACCCCCCCCCACCACCTTTACCCCCTCCACCTTGGGTGTCCAGTGCCATGGGACGTCCTCCTGACATGAAAGGTGCTATATAGATACAGTAAATGTAAATTTGGATTGTAAACCAGTGCCAAAAGAACAGTGCATCCTGAAGGTCAACAAAAGCCAAGAGACCTTTTGTGATCAGATGGGCATCTGACATGAAGAAAATCATCAACATGCTTAAGATAGAACAACAACAATAACTTGGATGTAGATAGTGCCCTCCACGCCGGACGGCGTCTCAGAGCGCTTTAAACCATGTGCGTACACCAACCTACACATGGTAATTTCCATGTCTGGATTTGGACGTGTATTCCGTGGCGGGATGCACCCTGTTTACCTAATTCCTGAGAGTACTGGGTCCAGGTTGGTGAGAACCAAGGCTTGGGGAACCCAGAATGTGTGTTGGAATTTAACCGGCCCAAGCCGCACAGATAGCCGTATTTTGCAGGAACAACCTGGCAAGTTTCCCGCTGGCTGTCCAGCTGAAACCACCATGTCATCACACCCACCACCTACCCCACCCCCCACTCCATCCCACCCACCACTCACTGAGGGATTGCAGATCAACAGGAGCTGAGAGACTACATCTCCCGGCGGTCAGTGGGGCGGGTGCGCATGCGCGGTGGTTGTTTCCGGTCTGTGGGCGGTTGGTGGATGAGGCGTCGTTTCGGTTCGCCGGTGTGTGGCGGCGGTTCCTCGCGGTCCCCGCGGTCCCGCCTTTACTTTAATATTACACCGTGTCTCTGTGTGTGAGGTGGTGTTGTTCCTCTCGCTGCTGCCCCACTCGGCTGTGTGTGTGTGTGTGTGTGGGGCTCGGGACGGTCTCTCTGGTTTGAATTTCCCGCCGCTGTTCCCTCCGACGGCCACAAACGGTTATTTTTATATTTTATATATAAAGAGAGGAAAACCCTGTCCTACCCCATAACCCCTCCCCCATACCCCATACCCCCTGCCCTGCCCCATACCCCATAACCCCTCCCCTGCCCCCTACCCCCTGCCCTGCCCCCTGCCCCATAACCCCTGCCCTACCCCCTACCCTGCCCCATACCCCATACCCCCTGCCCTGCCCCATACCCCATAACCCCTCCCCTGCCCCCTACCCCCTGCCCTGCCCCCTACCCCCTACCCTGCCCCATACCCCCTGCCCTGCTCCCTGCCCCATACCCCCTGCCCTGCTCCCTGCCCCATACCCCCTGCCCTGCTCCCTGCCCCATACCCCCTACCCTGCCCCCTGCTCCCTGCCCCATACCCCCTGCCCTGCTCCCTGCCCCATACCCCCTGCTCTGCCCCATACCCCCTGCCCTGCTCGCTGCCCTCCCCCATACCCCCTGCCCCATACCCCCTGCCCTACCCCCTCCCCTCCCCCATACCCCCTGCCCCATACCCCCTGCCCTGCCCCATACCCCCTGCCCCATACCCCCTGCCCTGCCCCATACCCCCTGCCCTACCCCCTGCCCCATACCCCCTGCCCCATACCCCCTGCCCCATACCCCCTGCCCCATACCCCCTGCCCCATACCCCCTGCCCCATACCCCCTGCCCTGCCCCATACCCACTGCCCTGCCCCATACCCCCTGCCCTGCCCCCAGCCCTGCCCCATACCCACTGCCCTGCCCCCTGCCCTGCCCCATACCCACTGCCCTGCCCACAGCCCTACCCCATACCCACTGCCCTGCCCCCTGCCCTGCCCACTGCCCTGCCCCCTGCCCTGCCCACAGCCCTGCCCATAGCCCTGCCCTGCCCGCGGGGATATGCAGAGCGCCGACATCGGGGCCCGGCCAGAGGGCAAGATCTGGCATCGCAAGCCCAGCCCCAGCACAGCAGACGGGTAAGAGCTCAAACCAAGTGTTTCTCTTGTTTGTTTAGATAAAAATGTTGTCTGCACTTTACTGGGAAGAAGTTTCTTGGATGCCCAGTGCCCACTGCTGGTGCCTTGTGTGGGTACCCTGAGCCTGGTGTGGGTGCCCAGCATGTTGTCTGGCCTTGTCCAGTATAGTACCTGGTCTGGTGTGGTTACCTGACCCTGCACAGACACCTGGTCTGGTACAAATACCTCTCCTGACATGACAATGTCTAAGAGTGGGCACCTCGCCTGTGTGATTTTCTGGATAAATTCATCAGCAAATTGCAAGGTCCTACATATACAGCCATAAGATAATAATAATCCTTGCATTTGATATAGTGCCTTATCACGGCTTAGCGACATGTCAATAAGACAAATGATTTATTCATCTGATAGATTGTTGCCTAAGACGTCTGGAGAAACTCTTTTTGACTACTATCATGAGATATTAACATCCACCTCAATAAGTTAAACATCTCATTTCAAGTTTGACATGACTGACCCAGTGTTACCCATTGTATTGCTATGACAATCTGCTGGTTCTTGTGCCGTGAATGTTGGCCACTAGGGTGAAGCTCCAGAGGCTTATGCAAGTCACACCATCCAGAAAGAACAACAACAACATGATTACATTTGTATAGCACCTTTCATGTCGGGAGGACGTCCCAAGGCGCTGGACAGAGTACAGCATTTCAAGGGAGAAAATTGATAAGTACATTGTTGTAGAGTGGTATATCGTGAACCTTTTTGTAAAACATATTTCAGTGGCATTATATTGAAAAACATTGTTGCATCACAAAAATGGTGCATGATTTTTGCAATATGGATCTCTTCCATATTGCAACACATAATGGAAGCATTTCAAGCATGAATTTTTCACAGTAAATTCATTTTACAGTATATTATGTGAAGTGCTTTGAGACGTCTCAAAGATGTGATGAGGCGCTGTATCAAATGCAAGGATTATTATTATTATGTCCCTTAAAATACTGTAGAATGCATCAGAGCAGAGTCTTAAGCATCAGTCTGACCTATTTCACTCTGGCTGATGTACAAAGAACCCATATTGGAGTACTGTACCTGTTAATCACATATTTAACACAATGGAATTGACATTTCTTACTCATCCTACAGTGCCGCTAACCCAGTGGAGTCCAAAAATTGCAAAAAAAATGTTTTTTGTGTATGTATATGTATTGCACTCAAAATATCCAAAGCTTTAGAATCCAAAATAGTGCTCCAAGATTGGTATGTTTTATTTTAGTTGTTATTAGTTTTGAGCTTGCCACGCTCGCTTTCATGTACAATAAGAATTTGTTCATGTATGATGTGCAGCCCTATGTGAATTTCTATAAGTAATAAACTTTTATAGATAACATAATTTATACAACCAGGCTCGACTTTGCCAACGACCTGGTCACCCTTCCCAACTTTTCCCTCCACAAGCTGCTGATCAACCAGAACTCGTGTCCTCTCCCGCACCAGGTTCCGTGACCCCATGACATGACACCCACCCTCTCCGGCTCCACTGGCTCCCCATTCCTCAGAAGATCGAGTTCAAAATTCTCATCCTCACCTTCAAAGCCCTCAATGGCCTTGCTCCCTCCTACCTCTCTGACCTACTAACCTCTTATCAACCTGTCCGCTCCCTCCGCTCAGCAGGCTGCTGCCTACTCCTTGTCCCCCCACCTGGCCTGCCCCACCATCGGCGGTCGGGCCATCAACCTCTCTGCCCCCACCCTCTGGAACTCCATCCCACTTTCCCTTCGCCTCCCTCCCTCGTCTCCTTCAAGGCACGCCTCATGACCCTCCTCTTCGACCGTGCCTTTGACCACCCTCCTGCCCTCCACTCCTCCTGATTTGCCCCCGCTTGGGTCCTAATCCCAGACTGTTCAGCTCCTTGGGACGTCCTCCCAACGTAAAAGGCGCTTTACAAATGTAATTTTGTATTGTATAATTTATGAGTAACACAATGATGAGAGATTAATGAAAACCATGCAGAAAAAAAACTAATATTTTAATTAGTTTAGTAATTGTGTACAAAGGTTAATGTTACCTCTTGAGGGGAATCTGAGTGTTTGCAAACTCTCTTCTCACAATTCCTAACAATCCCTGAGAGTTGTTTTGGCATCAGCTCAAATGACTTCTCACAGTGAGGTTATGACAATAGAATCTGTAAAGAAGGAAGAAAATGACTGTCTTACTGTCTTTTACAGTTAAACTATTTGCTCCTTTTTGTTTCTCAAGTGTTGTTTTGGTTTCTTTTCTCAGTGTTGTCGTAAATATTGTTCACAGTGTGGTGGGCTACCACTCGAAATTCATTCGATTTCTTCATGTTGCATTTGAGACAGCAGGGGAAGCTTTCCTCGCTGGTGATCACCAGGGCAATGTGTATGTCTTTGACTTGAGCAGGAACAGGTACGTGAACATGAATATTTAGTTAAACATACAAAATTATTTGTAAATTGAACAACATTCTGGGTTATCGTTCCTTATTAATATTTTTTATTAATGATATGTTTTACATTATTTAAACTTGTACAGTGCATCAGGTAGAACATTCAATCACAGCTATGTTTCTTTTTGATAATTCAATATACATTGTTCTTGCGAATATCCAAAACTCACTACACAATATATTTCTTAGCTGTGTAGTACTGCAACGGTACCTGATAATACTTTGTGTTTTGACGTTATACCTCAAAGTATGTTTCTATCATACAAAATGGTAAAGTGGATGTGACGGCTTATAGAAAGTTCTTCAACTCATTTTATCTCATCCAGAGTACCCGCCAACTGTTTTTCCATTACAGCAGCATTAAACTGGTTCTTAAATTAATCCAGATGAAAGTGAATAGAAAAGTCATTTAAGTAGAATTAGCAATATATATAAATATATGATATATATAAGTGTGGTTTTAGTTAATAAGCAAGGGGTATGGTTGACAAAAGGATCTGCTAGGAATTATGATCATATTATGGAGTAGGCACATACAAATTGTTGAATCATTGGCCGATTTCAACTACCCACATTTCAATATAGACTGGATTATTGACATGGAAGTCGGGCAACAGAATCCACTCTAGTTATTGTGAAGCAAGGTTGCTTCAAAGCCATTGCTGTTGTAGACTTTCAAGGGAATATTTGGCACATCTAGAGTTCATTTATTATAAATTGCACACAAAGTATCCAGAATCCAAAATATTGCTCTAACATTAATATGATTGTTTTCATGTTTGAGAACTTGCCATTCTAGATTTCAGTTGCAGTTAGAATCTGTTCATGTGTAATACATGACCCTGAGTTCTTAGCAATAATCAAGATAACGTAATGTGGAAATTGTGGAACCTTTCAGGAACAGTGATCCTTTTATGATTTAATATAAGATTATCAGGCGGCAATCAACACTAGAAAAGATGGCAAAGATATGACTTCAAAACCACCAACTTCTAAGGAATTATGAACGTTAATTCAGCAGAGGAATATGCAACTCTTTAAAACTGTTTTTGAATAAATATAGATCCAAGAGGAAAGCACAAGCAATCCCATTACAACCTTTTATTGTGTTCATGTGTGTGTGTATGTATACATATATATACTAAATATATATTAAAGGCTGAGTCCGTTGCATTACAACTTCCAGTGTTTCCTCTTTTGTTGCTCCCAAGCATAAGCTTGGCTCATACACAAACAAGCACCTGGTCTGGCAACTATTATCCTTTTAGCATTGTTATCCAACATACTTCCTCCTTCTTGCATCTGTGTTAAAATTAAAAATGTGTGTGCTTTCTCCAACTCTGACTCATTCCCATAACCTCAAGGCTATGGAGCATCTTACCTTTCACAGTTTTCTCTTCCTCCTGCAATTAACAGTCTTTGAAAATTCAAGCGTGGCGTAATCTGGTTGGCTACTTTGTATTTTAACTTGTTCGTTTGCTAGTCTTTCCATTTTTGGAAGTCCACTTCCCTATGGGTCTTGCTGCTCATCTAGATTTTTTTAAAAAAACATTCACTTGGAACATCACAGGATAGCCTTAATCCTGGCAGATTTTCCATTTCCTTAATTCGGGGAATTTTGTGGCCAATTATAGTGGCATCCTGCTGGGGTCAATTAAATTAACAAACCTGGGGACTGTTAAATTGCATTGCTCAATACCACACTGTGGTGCATCTAGCCATTAAGGAACTTCAGGGACCCCTTCAACCTCCACACCAGTTGTGGGCATCTTCATGAATGAAGGTAACCATTAGCCTAAGTGCTGCTTGCACCCCCATTAAGTTTTGCTATGTGATTAAATAAATGAGAAAACATTCAATGGGGTGGGTGCACAAAATGGAATCTTATCTGGCTGGTATGCTCATGCCTGTATTCCAGAGACTGCCTCAGGTGGAGACTTACAGGACTCGGTGACTTGTGAGACACAGCAAAATTAGTTGTGAACAAAGATAAAAATGTAAGATGCCAGTTGGTTTGTAAGCCATGCACTGTAATGGCACAAGCTGTTACATTTTCCTACGTGTCAGATATTGGCATTGCTTGACACTTGGGGGGAAAAGAAAGAACAACCATAATGCTTTTTTTGTTTCCTTTGTAACTAAAGCCAATATATATCCTGCCCATGGCACTGAACATGATTATAATACACAGTATGTCTACAATTTCACATATGACTTTTTGCCAAATCACATTTTCTCCAACTTACAAGTAACTGCTTCAATGTGTATTTTTTTATTGACAGAAATGAATCACTCCATGTACCTCCATTGGGCATTATTCTGTACCGTCCATGCAGCATACTTCATTGCTGGGAACTCTTGTTTGGTACATTGTGTGAATTTGGTCCAGTAATCTCATTTAATTTGTAACATGTGGAATTAATTTAAATATTAAGCACACAGGAACACATTTGCAAAGCATACCTAACAAAGCAGACTTGAGTACTGCAACAAATTGGTGATGTGAAGTACACAGAGCAGATTGACCTCCAATGTGTTCTTTTTCAGTAATGTTATTGGGAGGTTATCCATAATGTTATTTTCTGATGATTGTTTTACACAGGTTCAAACTTGTACAGAGAACTGGGCAGTCATGTACAGCACTGGCTTTTAATCTTCGAAGGAAAACTGAATACCTGGTAGCTCTGGCAGACTACTCTGTAAAATGTTTTGATACAGGTACCATATGTTTTGACTGGCACAGTATTCAGCAACTGCTTTACAAATGGTTCAAGTTAAAGTTCAATTAAATGCTAGCTTAGTAACCTGAATTTAATGTCTCTATATTGACCTGCCTTAAATAACCATGTAGCAACAATTAATAGACTTGGCCTCTACTTTGAATGGCACTTTCATATAATTAAAAAAAAACTTAATTCAGTAATGTTTTCCAGTATCTAGTGGTGAGGTTCAAATTTGCATTCTAGAAATAAATGTGAAAAAGACCACAACATTTTGAAAATATTACCAAGAGTATCGATATGGGCTGTGTGATGGATGTTATATATGTGGCCTTTGATAAGATGTCAGACGAGAGATGTATATCGAATTGAGAGTTACAGTGTTAAAGGCAAAGTGGAGTGGATGGAAGAGTCGCTGAGGGACAGAGTACAGAATTCTAATAATCCTTGCTCTTGATATAGCGCCTTATCATGTCATTAAGACACCTCAAAGCGCTTCACAGAATGTGGAATCAAGAGGTGCTTCTCAGACTGGAAAGATTTGACACTGGTGTGCCCAAGGGTCTGTACTGGGACCTTTGCTTTTTACAACATTAATATTAACATTAATTAATTAATTTATATTAACATTAATGTCTTGGATATGGAGGTGAGAGAGTTGTGCATCCATTTTTTGATGACACCAAATTAGGTGATTGGCAACTTGTGAAAATGATTGTGTAAGACTTCAGAAGAGCACTTGTAGAATCGTGAAAGACATGGGCAAATGGAAGATGTAGTTTAACCCAGACAAACTATGAGGTACCACATTTCAGAAAATAATGTCTAAAGTGATAAAACATTCATTAAAGTGGAGGAGTAGAAAGTTTTGAATGTATAAATATATAAATCACTAAAAGTGGGATAAGGTCATTCATGGTCAAAAAGTTGATACCATTTATTTTAATAATAATTATTTCTTCATCAATTCTTTAAGACTTATTAGACATTGTAATGGTATCACAACTTTTGGTCACCCTGTATAAAAAGGTAAATAGGGTAATAAGATGGGATAAGGTAACAGAAAAAGCTATCAAGAAGACACTCGTGGTTCTGGGATTTATAAACCTGCGTATTGAATTTGGGCCCCCCATTAGGAAAGGATGCCATAGATATGGAGAGGATGTAAACCGGATTCCCTGGGGTGGTAGTCAGTTTAATCAGCTGTGGTTTGATTTTTTTATATAGTTGTGTTACCTTCTGAGGTGCTTTTATGCAAATGAAACCATAGGGAATTATTTATTGTGGATTCTCAAATATGTATCCTTGTGTAATAGCATTCAGTTCTAGGATAAATATCTGAACTCAGAATAATAAACTGAAGTGGTGATGAAGTTTTCATTTGCTGCAGTATTTAGTTCTATGATGAAATGTATCTTGAATTTTGCTTGTTGATTTTGTTTTACAAAACATTTCACACTTGCTAGATAGCAAGGAGCTTGTGAGCTGGATGAGGGGTCATGAGTCAGCAGTTTCATCAATTTCTGTTCATGGATCTGGGAGATACGGCATAACTACATCAAGTGAAACAGCCCAACTCTGGGACCTAGACACTTTCCAACGAAAGAGGAAACTGAATGTACGACAGTCTGTTGGCATTCAGAAGGTTTGTATAGATGTTAATATGAGAACTATATTTAGACAATACAAACTCTTTGAATTATTTAAACAGTGGATTGGACCGATATTTGGTCTCTGACCCATATTGTAACCGGGGATGCACAAGATGCAAGTTAATATTCAACCATAAGGCTTTCTTGGGTGGCTCTTTGTGAAACTCAGCACTGACATTTCTGACGTTGTGGTCTTATGGCCTAATGCTACTTGAGCCTTTGAGCATTTAGTTCAGGTTAATATTCAAATAGAAATGATATTAAAAATTGTTACTCAAATCTAAGATGTGTAAAATCACTGGGCCCTGGTGGTTCACCTCTGTTTTTGCTGCCTTGGGAATGAATTAAGGATAAATATGACCATTGGAGAAATGTTTTCTTGCCCAAGGAATGGTGTGTCAGTGTGGCTCAGTTGGTAGCACTATTGGTTCCAAGTCAGAAGGTTGTGAGTTCAAGCTCCATGTCAGCACTTGGATCTTATATAGTCTAAGCCAGGGTGGTCCAATAGGTTGCATTTCATCCAGCCCAAGACCATCTTCGAGCAGCCTACTCCCTCCCTCCCCGGCGAGCATCCTCCCGTATCCACAGGACCCCGTGGTTGGAAAGACACAGTTGGGGAGTGGAAATAAAGACGGCCTTTGCTGCAGTCTGTTAAGAAGCCTCTCCAAAACTGAAGGGATGGCAAACACATCTCCTTATTCACTGTGGCCTTACCAACTGCCGGCTCTTGCCGCTGCAGATAGTGAGTCGCGTGGCTGATTGAGTAGAGGGGCAGAGAGAGAGAATGTGAAATGCACAGAAAGTTCTTGCTTCCTCCAATACTATATCAGCAAAGGCATAATGTCTTTTTGACACCAGTGTGATAAAGAAAACGTTAACAAGTTACCAATGGTGCCGTATAAAACCATCATTATACTGACTGTTGGGTTCTCCTTATTTCCTGGGGGATAAAGCACTTTGTCATATAGACCACAAGTTTGCAGGTTTAATCCTGTGCTGTGTAGCTGATCTTGGTGGGCAGGGGTCGGGTCTTTAGAATTAGGCTCAGCTGTCTCTGTGCTCCTCAGAGGAAAGATCGGCTAGCCTGCGTGCTCCTGATTGTTATCTGTAACCTGCTGAAAAATGCACTTATGTGGACCCAAGTGCTAACAGGATTGGGTGTCTGATGTCAGCCAAAGCGAAATAGCCTGCTGACTGATGCTCATTGTACAGATGCTTGTGAAGAATGGCATCATATTTGAGGTACAGTAGGAGCAACTGTGGAACTGTTCCCCGCTAAACAGTTTGAATCAGGAGAGAAAAGAAAATTAAAGGAAAAGATACATTGATTGGCGCAGTGTTGCAAAATTGTCCTTTAACCTGTAAATCTTGATTCAAATCCTGCCTGCTTACTTAATCCTTACAGATGTGATGAAAATTTTCTCTACCAGCTGTAAGGGTATTATATGAGATTGTGATGCAGGTTTGTCACACTGCTTCCCATACTTTAATTGAAGCTGACATTAAATAAACACTTACTTGGGGATATCTCATAGATGGATGGTGCAGAAAGGGTTACACTAGAAGTGCAGAGTCAGACATGTTTTTGGACGTTCAGATATAGGTTATAGGTTACTTATGTCCCTCACTTTAATTATTACTAAAATATATTGTAGTTTTACAAAATTGAAGTGTTTGATTTTTTTTCTAACTTAGGTGTTCTTCCTTCCACTGAGCAACACTATCCTTAGTTGTTTTAAAGATGATTCTGTCTTTGCCTGGGAAAGTGACACACTGCACTGCAAATACCAATTACCAGTGCCAGAAAATGAACCCCGGATAAATTATAAAGCTTTTGCTGTCACCAGGTAAGATTTAAACCAGTTTATAGTACACTTAAGTGCTGAGGATTTCTAGGACACTGTTCCCCACTAAAGAGTTTTCTCTTTCATGACTTTCCTGCCTTGTAGCACAGAGGTACATGTATTTAACTCTATGACAGTTGTGTTTTAAAGTCAAATTGCAATCAATTTAACATTGTTCCAAAAATATTGATAGAACATCCTTTTTATTTTTAAATTAAGCGCAGTTTATTGTATTTTGAATAAATATAGTACTGTATATTCCTTCCAAACTAATCAAAGAATTAAACAAAGATGATAAGTTTGCATTCTTTAGTGTAATTATTGTGATGCAGACCACATAAGATCATTCACCACATGGCTGTTTGTGCTTCCAAAAACACAGTGTAACTAATGTAAAGTCCCTACACTCATTGCAATGGTTTGATGTGATTAAGTGCTATAAAATGCAAATAAGATTCCCCTCCGACCCCCCACATGTGGTCAAATTGCTGAAAAAAGTGAATTCACATTCCAAAGTTAGAAGTCTGATCTTCTATTGTTTGCAGAGATGGTCGTGTCCTTGTTGCTGGAGGAAAATCAAACTTTCTTCACGTTTGGTGTCTGGTCACCAGAAGGCTCCAGCGAATCATTCAGATGCCTCCAAAAGTGCGAGCTGTGCGCCATCTGGAGTTTCTTCCTGACAGTTTTGATGGTGGATTAAGCCAGGTGAGCTTTTCAATTGTGTGGTGTTTAATAGTTAATGTTTAAATGAATTTTACCTTTTTTTTCCTTCATGATTGTATCTGTAAATGTGAAATAGTTCACAAATTTTCTTAAGAACATCAAATCTAGAATGCAAAGTATGTATTTGCCAAAACATGTCACATCAAGTTACGTGAGCTGTTGTATTGTTTCCCATACAATGCCTGAAACAATATTTATAGCATCTCAAAACTGTAAAACTGCTTAAGGGACAAGTTTGTTCATTGCTTAGTGCATGACCTTTCACCTCCTTGACTTGCGTTTGAATCCAATTTAGGGTAATGAAAAGTCTCTTCTGTCCGAGTCCTATGGGAAATTGTCAATTGCAATGCCGTTTCTAGTGTTCTACTAATTATGATTAGTTTTATAACTTGTATCATTTGGCGTTGAGCATGTAATCAGATGTTTAATTTAACTTGTTGCTTTCGAATATAACTTTTGTTGTTTCATATGCTATAAAGTGGTGCTTTTGATCAATGTTGCAGGTTATTGGTGTCCTGAGTCAAGATGGCATCATGAGGTTTATCAACGTTGAGACATGCAAACTGCTTTTTGACATAGGAAGCCTTGACAATGGGATTAACACAGTGGCTGTCAGTCCTAATGGGCGCTACATTGCAACTGTGTTGGAGAATGGCAGCCTTAACGTTTATGATGTTACAGTATTGTCACAGGAACTGAACAAGGTATTCATCAGAGTATTCATCAGTTTATTGCTCGTGGGGTAAAATAAATGTAAATGCACATTCAGAATATTATTATTGTGAGCTTGAATAGTTAGGTGAAATATTTTATACTAATCCACGAGATGCAATGTGAGGATTTGGGCAGTAAAGAAACCTAACCAGAGTACCATTGCTCAACTATTTTTGTTGTGTTAATAAATACAGTAAATCTGTCCAGGACATGGTAAGTAAATGGGTTGGTCCATGAGTCTCCACCAGTGTTCTCTCTGCGATAGTACAGTTTGACGTGTGAATAATGATTTCACCAATAACTTGCATTTATATAGCGCCCTTCACGTGGGGCAGGTCACAGAGGGCTTATCAGTGGCAGAATCTGACGCTGAGATAAGAGAGAGGGGAAATGACCATTGGCACGGTCAATGAGGAAGGTCTTCAGATCCAATCTGAAGGGAGAGTGAAAGATGGAGGGATTGAGCCTGTGAGTTCAGGAATTTCAGGGTTTAATCCCTGAGAGCATTTTCAAATTTCATTTCAATTTTTTAAAAAAATAAATGCAGTTAAGCATTCCAATTTACTCCATGAAGTCTCCCTTGTACATAAATAACAATGTGTAGTGTATAAGAATTTGAATTCATCTTTAATGGAACATTTTCAGTGAAAGTGCAAATAGTTTCATGTCTCCTTTTCAACTGAGATCTTGCAGCTATGGTTTGCATGGTGAGCAGCTTGTGAGCAGCTCAAGCCAAAGAGTGCTAAGGTCACCAATAGAAACTTTTTTGCATTTTACATCTATTACTATGATCTGTGGCCAAGCACGTAGCTTCATATGAAGGAAGGTTTTGAGAGAGACGCTAGACTGTCTCCTTGTTAACGGTTTCAGAACTGCACTACCTGATGCCTTGTTGCACGCCACCTCTCTGCTCTCTTTACCAGACAAGTTGTATATTGTGGAAAGGATCAATGATGGACATTTTTAAAAATCCTTTCACAAAAACATTAGTTCATAAACGTTAAACGTCAAAGTACAAGTTAACACTTAACAGTAGTTTAAATATAATTCTATATTTCCTATGCAAAAAAACAATCCACAGTATAATACTGGATCACATTTTTTCAATCTTAAATATATGTTGGGGCAGAGTCACTGCAGTGGTCTGATAACTGGGGACTGGTTTATATCAGTTTGCTGTTACACGGATGAAGTAATTCTAAACAATAAACTTTGCTCTATGTAATAATAGAGAAAAATTGGCACAAGATTAACTCAATTTCAGCAACTGAGATCATATAATTCTGGGGTAGAACAAGGCATCCATTCACTATATCATGATGCTTTGAGTACAGTGATTGCGAATGAGACAGTGTTTGGCATCTTTGAACATGTAGCATTCATCTTAATCCTTGCTAATACTATTTGTCTAAAAATTCAGCACAAGTGTAGGAAATCTTATTGTTCTTTGTCATGTTTTTGCTCTCTCCAGCCTCCGCCTCCTTTAGTTAAAGTAGTTACAGCGGGTTCCAAAGATCAAACAAGGCTAACTGGCCTTAAAATGAGAGTGGCTTCTGAAAGAGTAGAAAGACCTCGAGGAGGAAAATCAAGTGCGAGAAATGCACAGACCAGAATCCTGAGACCAGCTGATGCTTCCCTGGAAGACAAAGAGGTAAGAAATCTAGGGAGAGGTCAAGGACAACAAAATCAATTGGAATTTTAGGTTCACAAATCCAAATCCTGAAAACTCTACACATATGTTTACAGTGTCGCTATCATGTTGAAGCATATAAATTTGCGTGCGTCATTTTGTAAAATTGTGCACTTTTTCCAGTTGCATTTGTGCTTAATAAAAATTGAAATGTTACATTTCAAATTAAATTTGTTAATCTTTCATGGTGGATGTTCTGACTTTATTTTTTCCTCCCCATCCCTGAGACTTTTCTATGATCTCAAAATTATTGCGTTAGAAGCATAAATTTCATATTTAGTTATTTTCCTTCTAAAGTACAAATATTTGTTCTGGGCCTCTAACCCTCTTTGTTTATGTGTATTTGCTGCTGCTCTAAATCTGAGTTTCTACACCTCTCCATCTTAAAATTTCTCTGCTTTTATTGATATTTTTAAATTTCGCTGATGCATTTTAGAATGAGCTTCCAGTGGGCCTTAACAAAAAGCGTCTACAGACCTTGCTGAAGGAATTTGGTGAATATCCAGAAAAATACAGGTAAAGCAGACTGACTGCACTTGAAAGGATCCATAGTTTAAATGTTTATTAAATCAGTAGACATTACAATTGGTTTCAGTGCTTTAGGTTAGAAAGAGAAAAATCAACTAAAGTTTCTGTTTGTGAACTTTCTAGTGGAAAGAACAATACAGTGGAATCAGCTTTTGCCAGATGCCGATTAACACCAGACATTGGCTAAATCGAACAATGCCCGACCCGATTCATTTGTATTCGTATCTGTTTTAAATATGCCTGTTAATTCAGCCAAAAATCTGATTAATTCAGGCAAAATGCTGTGCTGGTCGCCGCCGAATGTACTCACTTGGGCCTTCTGTGTGTCGAGCGTTCAGCCACGAGGGACTCTGGGATGTAGATGGAAGGAGTCAAATTGCAATTGACAGCAGACTCCAGACATTCACAAGTGGCTGGAGCTGTGCTGTCAGTCAGTGAGAGGTGGTGGGACAAGGGAGGGAATGGGAGGAGTCAAAACACGAGTGATTGACAGCTGAGCCACTTTATAATGGCTGGAGCCCATACATTCATAAGCGGCTGCAGCTGTCAATCACCTCCGGGCCACCGCTAACTGGTCCCCTTCCCGTCCAATGGGAAGGAGGAAGCTTCTCTGCTGGGCAGGAAAGTCTGTGTTCTGCAGCCAAACAAAGATAAATATATTTTACTGAATTGAATGAGAGTATTTTAACATACCTGGTAATTAACATTGCTTCAAGTGAAACAACATTATTAGGTATTATACGGCGCTGCCATAGCTGCTTTGCTGGGCAGGAATGGTATTTTGGCTAACCTCAGACACCTCTTTCCTAAGTTGGACAAAATGTCTATTCCCGATGCGCCCGGCTTAACTGACTTTCACTGTAATATAAGTGGTTGAGCTGATTTCATTTTTTCTTTTGGGAATTAAATACAGGCGTTCTGTATTGATCAAGGGTTTAAAGAAATTATTTGTCTTTGATTTTCATTACAGAATGTTTATTTGGCGCTCTTTACTACAATTGCCTGAGAACCATACAGCTTTCAGTAGTCTTACTGACAAAGGAACACATTCTGCATTTCTGAGAATTCATGAGCAATACCCGATCAAAAGTCGAAAGCTGCTGAGAGTTCTTCAACGGTTTGTTTAAAAACTTCCTTCAAAATGCTGCTCACTATCTTTTTATGAAAAGCATTCATAATTATGGCCTGAATAACTGACAGAATCAGCGGACTGCTTACCATTAGCATTTTCCTTTATTTATTTAGTAGGATTTTTTTAAAGTTTTATATTTACTGGTACAATTACTTGAGGGTAATTACTTAAGATAATAATGCTTACATTTGATATAGTGCCTTTTATGTCAGGAAGATATCTCAAAGTGCTTCCCAGGATGCACTTTAAAGTGCGTCAGACTCTTAAAGAATGGAATGTCAATATTAGTCCGATGATTATGAAGCTACTGTTAACAAAGCTGATCAAACTCTTGAGAGCATTCCAAGTTGTATACATCACTGATAAGGGCAGATTTAGGATTGTTTAGGAGGATGCATTCAAAAATGCATTGAAGTGATGAAACTGTTATTAGGTGAGACCTTGGTTTAATAACTCATTCAAAAGATTCGAGCAGTTATTGAGAGCCACAGCCCAGACGTTTCCATCTTCCCAGCAGAAATAGAAAGTATCCCTAAAGTGAAGATGTAATGTGAAGGGGAAGTGAGAGGAGTAAAATTAAAACCTAAGCTAATACTTAGTAAAGAGTATAATCCTTGCTAAGACCTATACTAATACTCTGTTTGTTCTATAGGATATTATCGGCTATGGCGCATTGGTCAGCCATATTTCATGAAGTCTTATACCTCCCACTCCTAGCCTTCCCCTTTATAAAACTCTTTCAAAACAACCAGCTGATTGGGTTTGAAGTAATTGCTACAGTTATAAGTAAGTAAATTGGAGAATGAACATATTGTTTGTTGAAATTAAATCTGACACTGCTGCAATATAAATCTTTGTATTTGTCACTTTGTCTCTGTGCAGTGAACTGGTGTCAGGACTGGTTTGAGTACTTCCCAAACCCTCCAATAAATCTTCTAAGTATGATTGAGAATATCCTGGGTCATCTTGATAAAGAACTCCTGCAGCACTTTGTGACATACAATGTAACTACGCAGGTAATAAACTAGTCTGTTTCCTAATCTTACTTTACCTACTTTATAACAATACTGTATAACAATACAGTACAATACTGTGTATTGTTATAACTCTTTGACCACGCCTTCGGGCATCATTCCCCTCTTCTCGCCCCCCCTGACTCTCGCCCTGTAATCCAAAACCTGCATAAGGTTAATGTTTCTATTTCCCGCACCAGTCTTCCTTATGAATTCAGAGTTATAACAATTCAGATGTCAATTTACTGCAAACGTTGGGCAATTGGCGTGCATAAGTCGTGTAATTATATGGTTTCTGTGTTCTGACTGTCAGAGGTCTGAAAATATGATTCTCCTGCTGTACATCTACAATTGAAGCTAAATTTGGGAAATTCTAGTTCACGTTTGACATAACATTTTGTTGATTGGTCGCTCTGAGATAATGTTGTGATTATATTCAAAAGTTCAAATAGATTCCATGTTTTTAGTTGAACAACTTTTCTACCACATTTACTGACATTTACTTTTACTTACATTTGTTCCTGTCCCCAGACGTACGCTTGGCCATTCCTTGAAACCTTTTTCTCAGAGGTGTTAACCAGGGAGGAGTGGCTTAAGCTGTTTGATAATGTTTTCTCCAACCACCCATGCTTCCTGTTGATGGCAGTAGTAGCCTATTTGATCTGTTCCCGAGGCCCTTTGCTCCACTGTAATATAAAAGAAGACTTTGAGGTGAGAACGGAATTTAAATTGTTGTTTATGTTATAAATCACAAGCACTTTTCATTGTTCTATGAACTGTACTGTTTTGATATTGGAGTGTAATTATTTTCTCCCTGAGTTAGTACCTCTGGCCAGAAAGCCTATTCGCAGACCATTCCTGTTCCTATCTCAGCCAGAATCCAGGAATCCACTTGGCATCCAACCCCATCATTGTAATGTGTTCCGAAATGTTATCCTTTATGAAGTGCGCTATATAAAAGTTACTGTTGATGATGAATACATTAATTATAGTGACAGTGGACAACTTTGAGATGGGCTCAGCCAGTCTCCCCTCAAACCTAGAGTAACCTTACACTACCTGAACTGCAGCACATAATAATAATAATAATAATAATAATCCTTGCATTTGATATAGCGTTTTTCACGTCGGGAGGACGTCCCAAAGCGCTTCACAGAACACACTGTAAAGTGAATTGACTATATATTTGTGGGCAAACGCGGCAGCCAATTGCGCATAGATTAGAAACTCAATGGTTTGGGACTTGAATATATATCTCCATGCCATGGCTCTTAGCTTTGGTGCGTGGAATTTTGTCAGGATGCTTCAGATCGTTTTTCAGAGGATAAAATGCCTGAAAGTAGCTAAATGTCAACCAAGTCATGGCTATTTATCTAACTGAGCTATCAAATGTGCAATATCATGCATTAGTTTGAAAGCAATTGTAGTTTACACATTTAGAAGTCTGTTAAAGAAAAAAAAAATTTGTAAAGCACCTTTGCAAATCTTCGTATTAATGAAATCTTCACAGAGGCTGGTAGACTTTGTTTGCATTCTGTTAAATGTTCCCTTCCACTTGAAAACAATTGTGCAGTAAAAGTATTTAAGACAAAGGTACAAATTCAAGCTGTACAATGAATAATTTGTTTTGCTTTTTGCATTATTTAATAATATTCAATCCATGCTTTACTTGAATATTACCACTAATATCTAGATTATAGCAGCACTAAAAGGCTGGTTCTGGAGATAGGGAGCAGAGAAACCGGTGAAATTGATTTCATCCCAGGACTGTGGCTCCAGCAGTTTATTTAAGAGAAGAATGTGTATAGAAAAAAGTGTTTCATTCTCCCTGTACTGATTTTCCTTCCTTGCATTTGATATAGCACCTTATCATGTCTTTGAGACAAAGTGCTTCACAGAATATACTGTAAAGTCAATTGACTGTATATTTTGTGGGAGAAACGCAGCAGCCAATTGTGCACAGCAGTGTCCCACAAACAGTCGTGGATTGATTGACCAATATATTATATTTTGTTTTGAAGGAATTCTGCACCTTAAACAAACAAAAAAAATCGCAAACAAAAACGAGGGAAAATGTAAGTCTCCATGTCAGACTGTGGATTGATGCTCAATTGCATCATTTTTATGATTCGAGACATTTGTTTTGACTAAAATGACATGTAAAACTATTATATATAACATGTGGATTGGAGAGGGAGAGAGAGAGCAATTAAATCTACGTGTTCCAGATACTGTGCAAAGATTGTACAGATCTTTTCTCTGTTTCAGTATTTCTTCCATCATCGGAACAACCTGGATATAAATGCAATGATCAGAGAGGCATACCATCTTATGGATTGCACGCCTGCAGATATCCATCCCAAATATATGATTAATGACTTTGTACCATTAACCAAAGGACAGTATCCAATATTCAACAAATACCCAGTATTTATTGTCAACTACCAGGCTGAAGAACGGGAGAAGATTCGCCAAGAGGAGCTGGAGTATTTACAAGAGAAGTAAGTACATACTTTTGGGTTTTCTCCAGTTTCTTTTAGAATTGAGTATAAATAGGACATGCAAGATTGACTGTTTAAAATAAATATGTTGATTGAATCTTTGTGAAGATTCTTCAGATTATTATTATTACAAATGATTCCATCAAAGTAACTAAAAAAGCTACTTCGACCATTCCTCCAAATGTGTGACTTGCATCCATAACTGGAGCCTGGGCTGTAATGTCGGAGACTGCATTGTCAGTTCCTATCTTAAGAATGATAATAACCCAAGTCCTTTCTGCCTCTTCACGTGGATGTTAGATTCAAGAAGAGATAGCTTATCCTAGTGTTTTGGAAATTTACAACACAGGAGTAGGCCATTCAGCCCATTGGACTGCAGTACTGGATTGCAATTCTCCAGATAAATTGATCATTGATCTCATGGCTGAGATTTTGCTGCGCACAAGATGGTTGCCTTGTTTACCTACAAAAACAGTGATTTCTGTGAAGTACTTTGAAACGTTTCAATGTTATGGATGCTTTAAAAATACAAGTTCTTTCTGATTTATTGCTAAAGTCTTTCTTAAAATAAAAAACATTTTCCCACTCGTAAAAATATTCCACATGATAGTTATTGCAGCTGTGTAGAATGTACGTAAGAGGAGGTATATTGTGTGAGAGGAGGTATCATTTTGTGTGATGAATTTGGTTTCTTTTACAAACGACAAAATATTGCAGATGCTGGAAATCTGAAACAAAAATAGAAGTTGCTGGGAACACTCAGCAGGTCAGGCAGCATCTATGGAGAAAGAATGCTGCCTGACCTGCTGAGTGTTCCCAGTGACTACTATTTTTGTTTTTTGTTTTCTTTTACTGCTACAACAACAACCTCACTAAGTCAGTCAGGAACCTGGGTATTTTGTTTGACCCTGAACTGTCCTTTCTCCCCCACATCCGCGCCATGACCGGCACTGCCTACCACCACCTCCGCAATATTGCCAGACTCCGCCACTGCCTCTCCCCTCAGGCTGCCGAAACCCTCACCCATTCATTTGTCACATCAAGGCTCGATTACGGGAACTCCCTCCTCATCGGCCTTCCCAACTCTTCTCTTCATAAGCTGCACATCATCCAAAACTCTGCAGCTCGTGTACTCTCATGCACCAGGCTCCGTGACCCCATCACTACCACCCTCACCCGACTCCACTGGCTCCCCATCCCCCAGAGGATCGAGTTCAAGATCCTCGTCCTCGCTTTCAAGGCCATCCATGGCCTTGTCCCCTCCTATCTTTCTGAGGTGCTGACTCCCTGCCAACCTGCCCGCTCACTCCGTTCAGCGGGCTCAGGTCTGCTCCATGTCTCCCGCCCCACCCGCCCTTCCATTGGTGGCCGGGCTTTCAGCCTCTCTGCCCCCACACTCTGGAACTCCATCCCACGGTCCCTTCGCCTCGCTTCCTCCCCTCTCTTCGACCGTGCCTTTGGTCTCCCTCCCATGTCTCTGCCTTCCCTCATCTCTACACTACCCCTCCCTCATCCCTACACCACCCCTCCCCCATGCTCGGGCCCCGACACCTGACTACTCAGCAGTTTGGGACGTCCTCCTGACGTGAAAAGCGCTCTATAAATATAATTTTGTTGTTTTTGTTTGGTTTCTTTTACTGCTAGTTCAGATAGTCCAATTTTAGAGTGGAGAACTGCAATATGTACTGGAGCTCTGAAGAATATATGAAACCAAGATCTTTGTTGAGCTGATTAAGGGTAACGAAAACACTCGCTTTTATATAGTAGTGCTAAATACCAGGAAGCCTCCATTATAATGTGTTAATTTGGGTCCAGTGTCTCTCAGGCTCCAAGTTATAATGAAGCATGAAAAAAGATCAACTTTTGAATCGCCACTTTTGTGAATTTGTCTTCAAAGGAGCTTCTTATAATGGAATTGGTTTACCGGGCAATTAAGTTCTATGAAGGGTTCCATATTTAGCTGACTTTTTTTGCATATTCAGTTAGCAGCAGTTTCTTTTACTGTAAACGTTGCCGATATTATAAAATGCTTACATATCATACAATGTCTTTATGCACTGGTTCACTTTCTCTTGTGTGGTCTGTTCAGGCAGCTGGCACACGAGCTACATTCTGAAACTGTGAAGAGGCAGGCTGATGATGCTACCTGGTACGAGCAGCAAAAGCTGCTCCAGGAGGCTGAGGAGCAAAGAAGGAAGATTCTGCTAGAAGAAGAAAAGAAACTTACAGTACAGAGAATGAGGTTATTCTACACAAACTTAATCTGTTCCCATATTTTTACTGTTTGGAGGAGGGCATTCATTGATCGAGCATTGTCATACTGTTGTGTTTAAAAGCTATTAGTAGCATTGTATTGTCTTTTTTAAAATATGGGTTATCTTTCTGAGCTTCTCACTTATGTAGCCAATATGTATATTACCATATGTGTTTGCATGGTATAACTTGTAACAAACAGCTTAGTGTAGCAATAAGAATACGCCACTTACGTATGACTCTTAAACAGTTTGCATACTATCTCAACAACAACATTGCATTTTATATAACACATTTCACGTTAGAAGGCTGTCCCAAGGTGCTGGACAGTTAAGGGTTTGCACCGATGTGGGGTTTGGAATCATCAGGTTTGGAGGATAGGGGGTCTGGGAGGGTGGCTGAAAGCATGATCAAACAGGAGCGTCTTGAGACAGGCCTTGAAGGAGGCAAGGGAGAGTTATGAGCTGGAGGGATTCCAGGATGGAGTTCCAGAGGGTGAGGGCAGAAAAGCTGAAAGCCTGACCGCCAATGGTGGGGCTGGCAGGGCGGGGGACATGAATCAAGCCAGTGTCTGCCGAGCGGAGGGAGCGGATAGGTTGGTATGGTGTTAGTAGGTCACAGAGGTAGGGAGGAGCAAGACCATAGAGGGCTTTAAAAGTAAGGACAAGAATGAATACAGCAACTCAATTATTCATAATAATAATAGTCCTTATATTTTATATAGCGCTTTTCACATTTTTGAGACATCTCAAAGCGCTTCACAGAATATACTGTAAAGTGATTGACTATTATGTGGGCAAAACGTGGTAGCAAATTGCGCACAGCAATGTCCCACAAATAAACAGTTGTGGATTGAGTGACCAAATTATTATTGTTTTTTTCTTGAGAGATTATTATCAGGCATGTGAAGTAAGGAAACTTGCCCAAGGTATTGCCCTGCTGGGAAAATTATTAGTAATTTTGGATTATTAAGGATTATTAGAAATTTTGACCAATTTTTACCTTTTTTTCAGTCACAGTCTATGGTTAAAAACAATTTCTCTTCAATTTGATTTTTTAAAAAATGGATTGACAGACTTTTATTTGCGTCTTTAATTCTAAATTGCTCAATGTAAAATTAAAGATAGAAAGTCACAGAGGGGCAGAAAATTAGAGACAGAATAAATGGCTCACAGAAAGCGGAAGAGAGGAGAATGAGCGAGAGGAAGAGTGAAAGAAAGGCTGGCACAGTATGGTACAATAAAGACAATATAACCTCATGGCGCTGTAGCCTATTTGTATTGTGCATTGATGTCCAATTATCTACACTATTTGTTTATCCACAATGGGATAAGTTTCAGGTAGTGTAGATAATTGACTACTGTATTGATGTTTGTTCAGAATGGAACACTGACCTGATGTCCTGTAATTTCGCCATATTTTAGCACTGGAACAGTCCAGCACACAAGAAATTATCTAGCCAGTTGCATTCATTCACAGATATCATTCCCATTAACAACAAATCAAAACTGTAATGAGGCACGTTATAACAACCACTTTACAGTATATTCTGTGAAGTGCTTTGAGACTTCTAGGAGAAGTGAAACGCTATATCAAACGCAAGGATTATTATCATTATTAATTACTCACTGGTTTCTTGGAAAATGTCTACACTAAAGTTTCCAGATTTTTTTATTCCAAGAATAAATGAAGCATGCAGTGGATAATATCCTAACCTCTGCTCTCACACATTGTATTAGATTTTCTTCTGTAGATCATTATTTTTCTGTGTTTCCTGTCTGCGACTTTGAGTGCATCAAGAAATTATAAAAACAATGCTTCTGTTTCACTCCTCTTAGTGTTTTTACTTGTGCCATTGGGATTTTTTTTGTTTTAAGACTGGTGTCTTATTTATAATTTACTGCTCATTCTTGATGCCAACTCTCTCCAATTTTCTTTGATTTCCCTTAAGATAAAGTACATACTAATAAAATTAGATTTCACATGTTTTCTGAGTATTAAACACTTAGAAAACAAAGGTTAGGATATTATCCACTGCATGCTTCATTTATTCTTGGAATAAAAAAATCTGGAAACTTTAGTGTAGACATTTTCCAAGAAACCCAGTGAGTAATTAGTAATGATAATAATCCTTGTTTCACCCTACTTCAGAGAGTGAGTTTTTCTTTCTAGTCTTCTCTACTCTCTTTTTTCTTCTACTGCTTGATTCTTTCCTGCTGTTCTCTTTTTTTTATTCCTCTTTGTTATATTTTTCTTTAGTTCTCTGCCTTTATTTTCCTCCTCGTTTTCTTTAACCCACTGTCCTTCATAATTCCCCATGGTTATTATGTTCTCATGCTTGTCCAATGCTCTCCAATCCAGAAGATTTGTTTGTTACTGTACTGCCTCTGTATATGTCTGCTGACTCCTGCTGCCACACAGCAAGAGTCACTGGGGGAATACCGTTGCAAGTTTGAGTTATTCAAGCCTCCTCGAATGTGAAATCAATTTTTCCTAAATGGGGAATTGATCTCTTCATTGTGAAAGCAAAAAAAAGGATATTTACTAAGAGCAATATCAGACAGGAAACGGGCAAATTGAGCAGGAAAACAAGCAGCAAATTGAGGAACAACATAAGGAGACACATTGAATCATATTCCAGGTTTATTTTATTTTCTACATTTGATATGAAACCTTTTTTTAAAAAAAATTAGGAATCAACATTCTGAACCTCTGAGCTTGTGTCAGTCTTGGGTTCAATATCGTAATCGTTTTTCCTTGATTTAATGCAAATACAAGGTAAATAAGTATGAAATGCAAGGATTATTAATGCCCACAACATAAATAAATAAACCTTACTAAGCTGATATAATCAAATCTATGTTGCTTTGGTAAATCAGGTAGTTACTGTCCTAATTTTTGGAAAAACTATGTATTGAAAAAAATCTGGAAAATTAATAATAAATTCCAAATAATGGATCAGAGCTGATTTTGTTTTCTCATTGCTCTTTTAGGGCAATTGTAACACTTTAATCTGCTGCAAAGTCTAGTGTATACAAAATATTGTTTTCCGGAATTGAACACTTGTTACATTTTGCCCACAAAATATACAGTCAATTCACTTTACAGTATATTCTGTGAAGCGCTTTGAGACGTCTCAACAATATAAGGTGCTATATCAAATGTAATTATTATTAATTTTGAAGGCTTACTGCTATGAAGCGTGAAATGAAAGTGAAGGAACTTCACCTCTTAGATGCATCACGCAGGCGCTTTCTGAAACATCAGCAGGATCATCGGAAATCTGAACTCAGGAGGCTTGATGATGAGATTGCCAGAAAGGTCTGTGTAATTTTATTTGATTAATTTTATTTGCAACTATCGTAGTTTGTAGATAATATTTGCTGAACAAACATTCTATTGGAAGTATGATTTTTTNCCAGCCCCAACTCTGACAACAAGTAAGGAGAATGATATATTAGCCTATGTATAAAGTTCAAATAAGTTGCATTCTGCTTTTCTGTTCTTTCCTTCACTTTTGGGGCCTATTGCCTGCATTAGATTCACCCATGACTTGCCAAAGTTTTACAATTCTTGTGAAACTAGCAAAAAACTTTAGTAACTGTCTTAAGCAAAAATAGAATAGGTTTCAGACTGCAACAGAAAAAGATCTTCAATCAATAAATAGTGCATTGGTTTTAAAACTCAATTTTGTGAACATGTTTCAAATCATGTCAGACCATCAGATGAAAAACTCCTTCTCCAATTGTTGCAAGTGAAAATGTTTTTTTGGTAGTCTTCTCCCAAGTGAGCACAAGCTGCCTATAATTTGTTTTGTGCTCAGATGATGACTTGTCTACCAAACAGCAAGGATGCCAATGGAGCTTGAGGAGCAATTATTCAGAGGTTGAGTGGAATACCTTTTTGTGATACAGTAGTCAGACCTTTACCCTATCAACAGACTCATGCTCTTAAATTAAGTCGGAAGTGTTCAATGTTAATGCATCATCAAATATTCCATCCCTAGGATTAATATTCCAAATCTTAATGAGCACAATACTACCAACAAAAATTGTACACAGGCTTTGTATCATAGAATTATAGAGCATAGAAGGAGGCCCATCGTGTCTCTGCCATACTCTTTGAAAAGAGCTATCCAAATCAATCTCATTCCCCCGCTCTCTCCCCATAGCCCTGCAAACGTGTCCTCCCCAAATAATTATCTACTTCTCTTAAAAGTTGTTGTTGAATCAGCTTCACCACCCTTTCAGGCAATGCATTCCAGATCCGAACAACTCGCTGTGTGAAAACATTTCTCCTCACCTCCCCTCTGTTTCTTTTAACAACTATTTTAAATCGGTGTCCTCAGGTTATCGACTATCGCGCCAGTGAAAATAGTTTCTCCTTGTTCCCCCTATCGAATACCCTCATAATTTTGAAAACTTTTATTAAGTCTCCTCTTAACCTTCTCTGCTCCAAGGAGAATAATCCAGCTTCTCTAGCCTCTCCTCATAACTGAAGTCCCTCATTCCTGGTAAATCCTGGTACCATGCTGGTAAATCTCCTTTGCACCCTCTCCAATGCCTTGACATCCTTCCTAAAGAATGGTGCCAGAACTGAACGCAGTACTTATTTAAGGAAGGATGTGCTTGTCTTGGAGGGGGTGCAGCGTAGATTTACTAGGTTAGTACCAGGGATGAAGGGGATGAGTTTCGAGGATAGGCTGACCAATTTGGGCCTATATTCTCGAGAATATAGAAGAATTAGAGGGGATCTTATAGAAACCTATAATATCATCAAAGGGCATGATAGAGTAGATAGTGGGAGATTGTTTCCCCTGGTTGGAGAAACTAAAACCGGGGTCACAACCTTAAAATCAGAGGCCAGACCTTTGGCACTGAGTTGAGGAAGAAATTCTTCACTCAAAGGGTGGTGAATGTATGGAACTCACTACCCCAAAGGGCTGTTGACGCTCAGTCCTTGAACATATTCAAGACTGAGATAGATAGATTTCTTATTGCAAAAGGGATTAAGGGATATAGGGATAAGGCTGGGTCAGGTTATTAGCTGGAGTTAGATTAGAAGATCAGCCATGATTGAATGGCGGGGCAGGCTCGAGGGGCTGAATGGTCTACTCCTGCTCCTACATGTTATGTTATTCTAGCTGAGGTCTAACCAGTGTTTTATAAAGGTTCATCATAACTTCATGACTTTTGTATTCTATGTCCCTATTTATAAAGCCTAGTATCCCGTACATTTTTTTTAACAGCTTTATCTAGCTGTCCTGCCACCTTCAAAGATTTACTTATATGAACCCTCAGGTCTCTGTTCCTTCACCCCCTTTAAGATTGTACCATCAGCTTATATTGCCTCTCCTTATTCTTCCTCCCAAAATGCATCACTTTGCATTTCTCCACATTAAACTTCATCTGCCACGTGTTTGCCCATTTTACCAGTCTGTCTATGACCCCTTGCAGTCTGCTACTATCCTCCTCACTGTTTACTACTTTTCCTAGCTTAAATGTATGTATTAAACAATCTGTAAATCAAAGTTGTACTTTGGAAAAGGATTTATTGCTTATCAGCAGAAAGGTAAAAAAATCAACAGCAAATGATATCTAGATTCCTAAATAGGACAAATTGTGAAACTTACCTATTTATTTCTATTTGTGGTGTTGTGTAATATCTCATTCTTTCATTCCTTCAATGCAAATATACTATTGAGCAATGATAGCAATTTTCAGCCTACAATAAGGTTTAGTGATTCTCCGTATAATAACTTCCCTCATTTTTGTTACGTTACATTCTCTCCCCTCCCACTCTGTGTGCCATATTGCCATGCATTATCTGTCTGTAGGAGACGGCAGATGTCCCAATCACAGTAAACTTTTTCTTGCATTCTCTGAGGGGAAGCATTTTGTCTGTTCGGTTCTCTGAGAGGTCATGGCTAAAAACGAAATCTCACCATGTGGGGAATCTCAGCTGTGAATCCCTTTCTAAACCTCTTTATACACCTTGCATTTTGTTTACCCACACGCTTGTCTTTTATTGAAGTATAGAAAGTTACTGGATTTTATGTACTGTATTTTGTTTAAGATGTCTCTCCGGGACCAGGAAACGTCTGCCTTTGTTCAAGACATTGAAGTGAGGAAAATGGAAATAGATACACAACGACAGATATTTGAACAAGTATGAATTAAATCAAATCTACTTTCTTGTATCTTGAACATAACAAAAGCAAAAGTTCAATAGTCATATAGATTTTAAATGTATTAGCATTTAGATGTTTTACTAATAGTGCTCAGCTGCACAGGCCATTAAGGTCAAAGGTTCAATAACTGATCTAAGCTGAATCAGATGTTCTCAGATGGAGTGGCTACAGGGATCAATACAGTTGGTCTTAATCCCCCTAGATTAGGGATTTCTGCTGCTGAGTATCCATGTGTGGATGTGGACATTAGGAGAAAATAGGATTAGGTCTGGTATGATACCCTCCACAGGTAATTAGTTTGTCAACACTTATTGCCTGGGATTACTGGTGGGTTGCTGGCAGCTGTAAAAACATTACCCCAATTGTGAGATGGCAACAATACGTGTTTGACTGTGTATGCACACAGCAGCCAGTTTGCTCCTTGCGTTGGTCCGTTCTTGCTAAAAGAAAAATGGCTAAGTTCTGGGTAATCGGGTCACTACCATTGTCACTTTGATTGCTGTACACACAAAAAACTGAAAGTGATTTTGGTGGCCCGATGCTCCAGGCTTCAGATATTTTGTAGTGCAGCAATCTAAAATGGCTGACTTCTGAATCATTAGTCTGCCTTTGATATCACTTCTTGTTTTGCACGTGTGGCAAAGCTGATAGTGACATTGACGGTATCCTAATGACCTGTATGTTTTAATGCAAAAAAAAAAGTCAGCGAGTAGGAAGTGATCAATCAGACTGTGCATATGCAGAATAAAGTGAGTCTGAAGTATAACTGCAAATTAATACTATAGCAAGGGGCATTATGAAGGAGAGTTATTCTGGGTTCAGTAATGCATATTCAAGATTTGCAAACTCCATTGATCTTGATGGAAAATATTGCTGTTTGTGTAGCAACTTGCCAAAGAGCAGGAATCTGTAACACAGAAGGTGAAAGGAGACCTGGAGACCCATCGTCTAAAAACAGATATTGAAGATCAAATGTTTACCAGGTTGTTGGAAAAGGAACAGCGTCCGGACTTTAACTCTTGTAAGGTAAGGGGAGAAAAGTTACCATAGTACAGTAAATTGAGATAGGATCCTGGCAGTCCTTTATTGATGAAGCAACTTTAGAAAATTGTGTACTTCAGAATGATCATATTGGTTATCATTTCAAATAGGTTCATTTTGTCAACTTAAAATAAAACTAAACAACAATGAAGTAAGATGAGTTGGATAATTTCTGCTACTGCAAGGCAACATCAGAAGTAAATAGATGACTCAAATAAATACCTAAGGGCTCAAAGTTGTTGCAGAGGAGACTTTATAGAACATATTTGATATCCTAAATAGGAGAAAGTAAACCCAGAACAATATTCACAGATACACCAAGGGCAAGAGTGCAGATTTAGGAGATGCCAGAAAGTTGATATCTTTGCACAAAATGTAAGAGCACTTTACTGTAAAATCATAGTTTGTTTACTGGCAACATACTGATTTTTAAAAACAAAAGCATTTACTGCAACAGCTTAGAAACTTACAGCATGGAAGAAGGCCATTCAATCCATCGTATCAAGCTTGAACAGGCTAGCAGGAGTATATCCAGAATAGAAGATCAAATTTTCTTTATTCAAGTGAAGCTGTAAACTGGCTCCAGAGTACAATAAAATCGCTTCTTCTGGATTCCAGGTCTGCTATGAGTATACTTTTACTGATGTGAATTTGACTTATTTATTTGAAGGAAATTGAAAAGGGCTTGGCTGAAGCAGACCAACTGTGTATTGATCTAGACTGGGAAACGAAGATGCTACAGAAGCAAAAGGCAGATGATTTAGATCAGGAAAAGCGGCAGTTGGAGTTATTACGTCTTGCCAATGAAAATAAGGACAGAGAAACCAGGCTTCTGAATGTGATGAAGGAAGTTAAAGGAAAGCAGGTAAGTAATACTGTATGCTGAGATGTTATAAAATAAATCTGTGTGAAATAGACTTTCTATTGATCAGTTTCAGCAAAATTAGTTAATTTGCCCATCCCCAAAATAAATTAAGAGCATAGAAATCCCTTCAATACAAATATGAGATGGTAATTAATGTGTAACCATATCAGACTTTTAAGGTATCGTAAAGTAACATAAATGAAAAAGGTTTATGCTGATTGTATATCTTTAAACGATATATATATCATTGTTTTCATCAATGATTTTTTTATTGTCAGTCAAGTACTGCTATCATGATGCAAGGTTCCTAAAAGTGACAATGAGCCTGAAGAGAGATTTGTAATGTTCAGTTATTCCTATAGTTTTTAATGCAGTAAATTGCCTTAGATTTCGAAGCTATATGAGCCCCATTTATGTAGTTGAATAAAACCATATTTTACACATAAAGTCAAACTATTATCAGAAATGAATCAATGGTTTTTGAACAATAGTTTCAGGAAACAGCATTTGGTACCCCTCCTTTATTAAAGCATTTTTGACATGGAAGAATAAATCCAAAGATGCTGTGCCGTTCGCTGCTTTTCAGGATAACCTCACACTGGTCACACACCAGCCAGATTGTGATCAAGAAATTGTCAGCATTCTATCCTTAAACTGAAATGAACACTTTTCAAAAATACAACGGAGGAAATAAGTCTATAGAGATAACAGATGGAAATAATGGAAACTGGGCAATTTATAACTGGAGACATTGGTTTCTTTGATCTTGGATTAAGAAGGCCATTCCACTACTTATGGGCAATATAATGGAAGATCAATTCTAAGAATTGCACTGTAAGAAGATTGTATGACTTTTACTCCCTTGTTAGAGTAAAATTGAATTGGGACATTGGAATTTTTTTATTATAGTTTAATTTTTACCTTAAACGGGTACCACAGCAATTTCCTTTGCTAGTGTTTATGAGCTTTATTAGTTATTTCCAAATCTTGGTTCTAAAATAAACCAACAGCTATTGATTCCACAATCTCAACCTAATCTCAACTTCAATTTTACCATATTTCATGCCTATTTTTATTTGTGTGCCTGTGCACTGATCCACACAGAGTGTTAAAAGTCTAGAGATTGGTAAGGAGCAGGATCAAATTTAAGAAACCATTTGAGTTCCTGAAATGGCTGCTTCTGCACAAACATGTTTCATGCTTGAAAATGTATACATTCTTAGTATTTGACAAGATGAATAGTGCAAACACTGAGTTGTGAAATTAAGTTGTGCAAGGAAACCATCATACAAAGGTGTTACTGTTAATGCTTGACTAAATGTAAACAATACTTCCACTGCACTAAGTAATAATTCTTGTATTTGATATAGCTCCTTATAATTTTGTCAAGAAATCTGAGTGATTCATACACTGTGATATTGTGCAACTGTATTTTGTGGGCGAACATGGCAACTAATTTGTGCACAGCAGTTTCTCACACTATCCATGGGATGAATGCCCAGTTTTATTTAGGAAAAATTCCCTTCTCCTTTCAAACAGTGCCACTTGATTTTAATGTCAATCTGAACAGGCGGAAAGGTCTTCAGTTTATCGCCTCATCAAATGGCTCTCAATTTAGCCAGGTTGATGCACTGAATATCAACATTGAATATTGTTTCGTAAGATTTAAATTGAATATCTGGGCACAGAGTACTAGGTCATGGTTTTACACTTGGTTTACTCTACAAAGGAGATGCAATTTCAGACACATATTCTGATTGGAGGAAAGACACTTCCCTAAAGAAAGGGAATACTGAATAGTGATTTAACCTGTGTCTCGTACCTCCTAGTGGCTAGTTTCAGATTTACATTGGCAGAGATGTGCAAACAGTATTGATTGGCAACAATTACTGCAATAAACACATTTTTTAAAAAATGTTGCTACCGGTGGCAACCATACAAATACTAATTTGAGGGGCAGACCAGTCACTATTGGCAGGGAATCTTATCGTCTGCTCCTGTTAATCTTGTAGCCAAAACATAATGCTGAGAGAGGTCCTACCTGTACAAGCAATGAGAAGCTCATTCTTGCAGCCTGATCTGTTAGATATCAAGTCCTGAATGAGAGCCAATTTCCTACAGTTGAATGTCGACAAGACCGAAGCTCTTCTGCTCGGCTACCATCAGCGCCTCCTAACCTCACGCGCTAACAGCATCACTGTACATTGATGCACTCTCCACCTCACTGAGCTATTAGGGAACCATGGTGTCTTGTTCAACTCTCAACTGTACTTTAAAACCCACATGCGTGCCATTACCTATTCTGCTTTCCCTCACCTCCGCAACATTGTCCGCTTCCGCCACTATCTCTCCCCTCAGGCTGCTGAAACCCTCGTCCACGCTTTAATTATGTACAGGTTTGACTACTCTTAACTCCCTGCTTGCTGGACTTCCCAACTCTTCCCTCCACAAGCTGCAGATTATTCAGAACTGAGGGAAGGGGGTGGTAGTGGTAAGACAACCAAATGCGCGGTCGAAGAAGAAGGTCTTGAGATGGGTCTTGAAGGAGGCAAGGGAGGGGGCAAGGGGAAAGGACTCCAGGATGGAGTTCCAGCGGGTGGGCGCAGAAAGGCTAAAGGCTGAATCTCCAATTGTGGAGCGGGTAGGGCAGGAGACGGGGATATGGAGTAGGCCGGTACTGCTGAGCGAAGGGAGGGGATGGGTTGTTTGGGGTTTAGGAGGTCATAGAGGTAGGGTGTAGTAAGACCCTGGAAGGTTTTAAAGGTGAGGATGAGGATTTTAAACTAGTCACTATATCCAAGTGGCTACAACAACAACAAGATTGCATTTATAGAGCGTCTTTCACGTCAGGAGGACGTCCAAGGCGCTGGACAGTTGGGTCGGGACCCGAGCAGGGGGGTAAATCAGGGTGAGGGAAGGGAGGGTGCGACGATGGGGTAGAGAGTCGAGAGGGGAGCTGAAGGCACGGTTGAAGAGATCACAAATGTAGACCACGAGTTATAGTAAACCAGACTCTGCGTATCTGGAATTCAGACCAAGTTGGACCAGGCAGGAGAAAGCTTATTCGCTCGCTTCTGCTCTTGGGATTCAAACCGAGTCAAAGTGTGGGTAAGCCAGGGTTTATTGTAAACTCGTGCTGTACATTTGTGTAATGTAGCCAGTTGGATACAGTACCCCACTCCTAGCTTTATGGCTTTTTGAAACATAATTTAGAATGTACTACTTGACTACTATTAAGATAATTAATGTGGAGTCCTGTAGCTCAGTGGTTAGAGCACGCGCTTTGCAAGTGAGAGACCTGAGTTCAATTCCAGGCAGAGGGCGAAACCTTGGGCAAGTTTCCTTACTCCACACGCCTAATAATAATCCCTCCAAAAAAAAAAAAACAATAATTAAATTGGTCATTTTCAATCTACGACTGTTTGTGGGACATTGCTGTGTGCAATTGGCTGCCGCGTTCGCCCACAAATATACAGTCAATTCACTTTACAGTGTGTTCTGTGAAGCGCTTTGGGACGTCCTCCCGACGTGAAAAGCGCTATATCAAATGCAAGGATTATTATTATTATTATAATTTATTAATTTAAACTTAACCTATTAACCATTCACAACAGTAAAATATAAAATGATTATGCAGTAGCAGAGTAGCCCAGGATACTGATATATAATCGGACAGCCATTCAATAGGCTCAAAGACGAGGCACCTCTCACTAACACTGAACAACTGTTCAATTCAGTGAATAATAAAACACTCCTCTGTAGAATCCTCCTTATAATCCTCTGATTGTACCTCAGAATAATTGTCTTCTGGATTCAGAGCCTGACTTATGGTTTCTGTATCATTGCAACCTTTGTCAAACTCTTGAGACAGGCTGCTGAGGCACAGATTCCTGAGCACTTGGCTCACTCTGTAACATCAGCTATGATGAACTTTTCCATTCTATCACCTACAGAAAAGCTGTGCAGATTTGCACTGTTTCCTGACAGTAATAAAGCCCTATCAGATTTACCAGCTGACAAAGTTTGATTAAACTTCTGAGCATTTGCGCTGGTGTTGTTTATTTCAGTCCAGCCAGGTTTAACACTGTCCAGCTTGTGGACTTGCTTGGAATCCACTAACAAGACAGCTCTAGCATTAATTATTCCCTGTTTCTGCTCACACCACACTACCTTGACACTCTGCACATCCATTTACAGCTGTCCAATTTTTTTTATTTGATAATGACACTAGAGAGTAATTTTCACTTCTTCCATTTAAAAATCATCAACTTCACCTTATTAACATTAGGCATATAGGCTGACAGCATCGTAAAGGTGTTGCATTTGTGGCCAATTACTGTTGAGCTGGACAATTCCCGGCTGATCCATGTCGGCGTTTTTCTGGAGACTGACATTTTCATGAAATTGGCTACCTTCTCCTGATAGTCATATCACAGCTCTTGGCTTACTGCTTTTTCGGCATATCCATTCAGCTCATGCTTCTTTGAAACAGATTGTTTGATCGTTCATTTTGTTGCTGTTTGTGGAGGATTCCTGGCAAAAATTAGGTGCCTCATTTGCCTAAATAACAACTGCTGCACATAAAATAACACATTATTTGCAGTACTTTAATATGTTTTGATATGTTAAGGCCCTATTTAAAAATGCATGTGTATTTAAATATTTGGGTCAGCCAGTGTTTGAATGCTGTGAGGTGTGTCTCTGTGGCATATTGTGTGGCTACAGTTGAATTCTGACAGTTTGGCTCCTCTTCCCACCACTCTTGTCATGGGCAGCTTTTCTAATTCACACCCTTTTGCAGTTATTAAGAGCCAAATTCGTAAACCTACTTGTGCAGTATTCTGCCAGTGTGAATTTAAATTATAGGGTGTGATTTAAATCTTCCAGCTGCACTTGAGTAAGGTATTGAAAGTGAACACCTAGAAAACATAGAATTAGAATTCTAGGATCATGCCCACTCCACTCATAAACCCACCGAAAGCTACTGAATAATGAACTTCACTCAACCCACTATATCTCCTGAGGGTAAGCTCTACTTGGAGACTAAAGCAACATTTATTGTATCCCAAGGTCTCTGTTATTCCAACATAGCCTCCTCCCTGAGCTGTGAAGAAATCATTGAATCCTCTGGAGCATTTGTTCCTCTCAGTCTGAAAGCTATACCAATGTACTCAACTAGTTATCTTTTGCATGAATAATTGTTCCAGTTTCAACTGCTTTCATTGGGAATCTGTTCCACATACCACTATGGGAGAGGGAGAGGAGGGATTTTTCTTATCTCTGCTCCTATTTGAGATTTTTTACATTTCATCTATGGTCTCCAGTTCTGCTGCCATGATTTAAATCAAATAGATCATGGTTCCAACTGTTCCTCCCATTTAAGACCTGAGTTATGCTTACAACTATTGTCTTTTTCCTGAGAACAAGCTTAGTTGTCCAGTTTTCAACTCACAAATTAGGCAAACAAGTTCAGAATCTTCGTTGATGCACTTATCCAAATCTACTCGAGTGAATCAATGTCCTCTTGAAGGTGCAGTACCTAAATCTGTACATAATATTGCAAAAGTAGCCTGCTCTTGATCTATACAAGGTTAGATTAGATTTAAGTGAATTTCCCTCAAGGTCTAATCTAATATTTGATTAGCTTTGTTGTTAGCAGTTTCATAAGTGATCAATACTTGAACTCAAATACATTTGCTTCCACATCTCTGCAAATAGACGATCCTTTATATTGTACACCTGTTTACTGTTTCTAAAAAAAACAAGTAAATTGTTTCTATTAGAGAGGCTTGATTTACTATCTTAGTTATTCAAATAATTACAGTAGATAATAATATCCTTGCATTTGATATAGCCTGACCTATTTTATTTAAATCTATGTATCATAATACATAAAGCATAATTTTTCTTTGAGGTGAACATTCATAGCGTCCCAGAAGATAATACTCTCAAGCATTTTCTCACCACAGAAGTTTGACGAACTGATCTTCACTTCCAGCCACATAGCTGTCTACTTTTTGAATAATGGGATAACATTTTCGATCCTCCCATTCTTGGGTGTTCATGGAGCTCTTAAAATGGTTATAATGATTTCTCACTACTTGACTTAAGCTGTTCCAAATCCCACAGCTGTTGGTTGGGTAGCAGAGATCACAAAACTAAATTTCTAATGGCTTGCCCAAAAGGCTAAGGTGATTATATGTGCACAAGATTTTAATGCATGCGTACAATGTAGGCAAGGAGAAGTCAATGTAAAAGCAGCAGAGCTTGGAATACTGCAGTGCGTCCTATTTGACACTACATTTCAAGTATCTGGGCCCACAATATAAAAGCAGTATTACAAGTTTATCTCTTACCAATTTCAGTTTGTAAGAATGCTCTTGTAAATGTTGTTTGCAAGCATTTGTTCAATCATGTTATTCCCATGGTGTATTTATCTTTTTTAAACTGTCAAGCAAGTTGCAGTGTCTTGTTTTTCATTATGTTTGTGGTGACAATGATTTTGAAGTACAGTATTCCTTAAGGAAATCATTAGCAGTTCAATGCTGATCCTATGGTCAGAGAACAAAATCCAGCATAACCTTGCATTGAATTGCCGAGCGTATCCAAGATTGAATTCCCTGTATTGACAAAAATAGTCAAGTTTCAATTAGCAACAATGAAGCCCTACCCTTTATCATATCAATCTTTACTCTATGATTTTAGTATTGGGCAATACAGTTGTACACAAACCTACATTTTAGAAAAACCTCTCAATAATAACTAAGAGTTAACATCATAGAATATATAATCCTGCAAATTAAGTTTGTTGGCTTCTAAATTATTTTCAAATGTAGTAGGAGAAATCACTTTGTGCATTTATGTTTTGTAGTGTTGTTAGTAGCTGAGTTGCGATCTGTACATGTTTCATTTTGTTTCCTTATTAGTGGGATGCGGTTATGGAAAGACAAGCTCAGGTGGAAGCACAACAGCGTGCAAGATTTGTTTCAGACGCTGCCAGGCGGCAGTTCATGGCAGATGAAATGACTAAAACAATGGAGCATGTTGAACAACTGCACAAAAGTCTAGATGAATCTTTTGGTAATGTTCTAAGTGTTTTCAATGTTATGGTATGACTTACTCTTAATGGTTTCTGTAAGAGGAATTTCTGTTTTTGAAAAACAGTTGCTGACGAAATATTCCTCACACTGGATTATCCTCAATGAATTTTTTACCACAACCCTAACCTTCCTTCCTGCTTACCTGCCTGAATTCCTCATCCTCTTTATCTATCTTTACACCCCATCTTAAGACCTACCACTTTGACTGTGCCTATAATCACCTCTCCCTTTCTTCGGAGTCAAACCCTATCACTGTATAGAGTTCTAAAACGCCATCCTGCATGAAAGGCGCTATATAAATGCAAGCTATTGTTATTGCTGATCTTTTGTTGAGGATGGTAGAGAAATAATAATAATCCTTGCATTTAATATAACGCCTCATCACATTGTTGATGACTCAAAGCGCTTCACAGAATGCATTGTAAAGTGGACTGACTGTATTTTGTGGGTGAAATGAATTGAAAGAAAAGGAAAATTAGGCACTCATGATATGGGATATCGAGAATAACCCAACGTGAGGAATAATTTGTTAGATTTTTTTNCAAAACTAGAAATTGATCTTTCAGTTGAAGAGAGATGTGTTAATTCAAGAGAGAGAAATTCAGAGAGAGTCGCAGCCTAAGGTATCCTTTTCTTCCACATCTGAGCAGCCAATTAGTAGAGTTGGTAAAAGCTAGGGAACAGTCCAACTGTCTTTCGCTTGGTCAGAGAGAAGCCATCCCAATGAAAAAACACTTAAATTGCTTTTCAGTTTTTGTTTTACATTATTGAACAGGAGGTATATTTCCACACAATTAATGGCAACTAAAACCTAGAGGTCAAAGTACTCCCATTGGAAACCTAAAGAAATAACAGAGTTATTTAAAAGAATAATTCCTCAATAACAAGGAATGTTCGCTTTATTATACTACCCAAGATCAGCCTCCTCCTGCATAGATTTCTCTATAATGTATGTCGGAGCAGCCTGAGAGCTGATCAAGCCACCCAACTCCAGAAAAGCCCAATACCAACTCAGTATGCAACAATACTCAGGAAATGTATGGTAATACCCAGCTAGCTAACGCTGGTTAGGCACATTCGTTTGGCCTTCAGGGGCCACTTCATCTCCTCCCCGAAACATACTTCACCAGTGCAGGTGGAGCAGATTCTAGGTAGTTTGTTACAGAAAGGATTCTTCACTTATAGGTAAAGAACAATTTTGTGATTTATTTTCTCTATTTGTTGGGCAAGAGAGTACTTTGAACAAACTCCAGATTTAAGTTCCATTGATTAGTAGCAAAGGTGTTCATCCTTGTATAAAATGTTACAAAGAACCTTTTCTACAATCTATATTGGATGCAAAGGTTTATATATAATGATGAATTAAATTCCGTTCAATTGGTATATCACTTTGCTCTTTTCATTTGCTGCAGAGAGGCTTTGTGACGCAAGAACTATAATTACACACAAACCAACAGGAGATCTCCAAGAGAGCAGAAATAGAAACACAAAGCATGACACTACCTGTTTGAATGATATTTCCTCAGACTCTTCTGCTCAGTGTAAGTATGTATTGTGAGAAAGTGATTAACACCCAGGTTTACTTTTTTTCCCAATTTGCCCCAAATCCAACAGATAGCCATGTTTCTGATTTTAAAAACTTCCAAAAGTTGTTTAACTTTCATCCAAAATTTGACCACAGAAGCTGAATTTAACTTAGAAAATGTGTCATAAATTTTAACTGGAAAATGTGTGAATTATTAAGCGCCATTTTTCACTGACCGTCATCATGTCACTTTGAGTTGGTGCACCATTACTTTAATCTTCCTTGAATTTGAAACAACTCTTCAAAACTGCATTTCCTCACTTGAAAAGAGGCAAAGTGGAAAATTTAAGGGGACTTTCTCCCCAGCTTATTTAAGGTGTTTTGGGGTAATTAGTGCAATAATTAGAGAACAAATGTATTGCAATACAAAAATGTTTCATCAAATACAAAATATTTATCCACATCAGCTCACTCAAAAATTAAATGCTCAAGATAAAGTACTGTAATAATTTACAGCATTATTTTACTTGACTAAAGATGGCATCTACCTTTCGACCACATTGCTGCAACTTGTACGTTTTACCATGAAAAACATTAAAGCGAAAGGCTTCACAGATTATCATTGTTGGGAGAGAGAAAAAATAAGTAAAGGTCAGAAAAGTTTCTTCTCAAAAAGCTCACTTAATTTCATATGGAGATCCATCCAGCAAAATGGATCGCTTTTAAAAGCACGCTCAGCATCGGACTCATGTTACTGATCCTCCTCCAGCTGCTGCTTAATCCATGTCTCATTTACAGGAAGTCAGTAACCTTCCACAGTCAAGCAACATATCCAGCCCACATTCAATCCCGGCATCCAGGGCCCATTCACTCCCCGCCCCACTTAGTGACCTTAAAAGGCACGACTGAAACAGCTCTGGACTTGTAGATCAGGACACCTATGTAGAAGCAAGCCACAACCATTGAACTTTTAACTCCTGATATTCTAAGGACACACAATCACTGAAATATGCATAGGGTCACCTGCGATTTAATGTCAAAGTAGCTTCTCTTCTCAAATGTTTATACGCGTCCTCCCCTCAACTCTCCTGGGATGAGTGGATTCAAACCTGTTTATCAGCATATAAAAAAAACATGGTGGCAACAGTGCTGAACAATTCTGTTTTTATTAATCACTAGCTACTAAAAAATTATTTTGCTTAAAATTACATTTCCTCAGGTCTTATTTTAAGTATCTGGTGTTGTTTTCATTTAAGTGTATTTAAGTATTTAAATCTATGTATTTAAGCACGCCCTGTTAGCTAGTTGGATAAGAGCAACCCCCTGTGCAAGGCTAAACAACAGAACATCACAGGTTTAGTATGTGCTGCCTTTGCTTCCAGTCAGGGAAGCAATGGGACTGCTACGATTGTCCTTAGTACCCTGGATTTGGGGGGCAGCCAGGGTTTCTACTCCTGTTTGCTATTCACAGATCCCTACTGGAAGTTGTGCATGTGTGGATAAAAGAGGATTGGGTTCATGATTCCCTCCACGGTTGAATAGCTTACCAACACAACGTTATAATTCGTCAGTGAATAATGACCATTTGAGTGCATGTAGCACTCGTGGATCCTGTATCTAACCAAAGGAAAAAAACTGTCAAGAAAGGAGGAATTTGAGGAAACAAAATAAATGTTGCAATGCTTAAATCAAATTGTTGCTGGATAATATTCTTTTCTGGTTTAATTTTTAAACTTTTTTTTAAAAATCATTATAGTGTCTTTGGACAGAGGAAGAACTGATCTAGAAAACAAGGAACGTGAACTGATGGCTGGAGTAAGAGAACTGAGACAAAAGCTTGCAGTGCAGGCTCGTCAGAGATACCCTAGAAATTTCTCTCCTACAAACTGCACATAGTAGAATATACACACTTCTAAATTATCATAATAAAGCCGAATCGTTTTTTAAGGAAGCCTGAAATCTAAAATCAAAACAGAAGCAGGAAATGCAGAGCAGGTCAATCAGCATGTGAAAAAGAAACTTGTTAATGTTTCAGGTGTGACCTTTCAGCAGAACTGTTTTTTGATAAAGTCACCGCTCAAAGTGATATTGAGGTATATAGACCAGATTGAATCTGCAGTCTGGACTGAGTTAGTTGACTTAAACCAGGGTGGCAGTAGGGCCCTACAATTGACCTTAATGCCCGAGGCTAGGAAGTGGGAAAAATCAGCCGAGGTACCTGCTCCTGATCTCTCTCCAGTGACTTGCCGTATGGATGATGGATGAGGCTAAAATAAGGCTGGACTGTAATGCTTCAAATAACCTGCTGACCTTTGTTTGCTGAAGAATAGCCACTTTGGGTGACATATCAGACTACAATTGCTTCCCATGGACATGTACATAATCCAACTGAGTGAATGCTTCTGATGAAAAAAANCTAAAGCCAAAATATTACATTAATTTGCTGTTAGGTTCTGATTGACTTTATATGCATTTCCCAAGTTTTATGTCCTATTTTAATGTTTAAATATTAAAATGAATGTATTTCAACTGATTTGTTAGACTTGTATAATTATTGATTACTCATTTATTTTTCTATTGAGATTGATATGCAATTAAGTCTGTTTTATATTGTAGTTATGTACAGAATGTTTAAGATGCATTCTAACAATATGTGTGCAATTTTGAAATGCTGCTGTTGTACATAATAGAAAACAGCCAAAAGGACATTTTTAAGTGAAACTTTGCAATAAATCTTTTGCTAATTTTGAAAGGTGTATTTTTAGTTATCTTTAATTATGCAATCCTTTCAATCCTTTCATCCTGTTCATCCTACTTTAGGGATTTGAATGAGGTACACAGAGCTGTTTCAGATCGGTGCTCAGCTGTCTTTCGAGTGGATGACTTATCCACTTATGACATCCCATGGGCTATGTAAATTTAGGACAGCAGAGTGCTGATTAGGTTCAAGCCCCAGGACATTACTTGTCAGCCCAGGGATGACTCTGAATCCACATGCTTGAACTATGTTTGAACAGATATTGTATACAGAAGACCGAGACACAATTATGGATTTATTCCTTTTAAAGTCGAGGAGAAAACTGGTCATGTAGATTCCCAGGAATTCCCAGTAGTGGAGGATAAAAGCCACCCCCACAAGTATGGATGAGGAATTTTGTCGCATTATGGACTTCTATGTTGGAAATCCCATCAAAGGACCATCATGGATCTTCCTTTGATGGATATTCTAACTATTGAACAGGCTTGTCACACTCTCACAGTTGTTGCTGTGGAGGCGCCTGTGGCATGGTAACCCTTCTGGCTGATGCAAGATTGTGAAACAGCATGCACGTGAAAAGAACGGGGGGGGAAAAAACAAAAAAGGCTTCCTACATGTCCCGCAGACAAGTGCTGATTTTTTTTTGCTCTTTTCCATACCTGTTCTCGTATGTTTGAGGGTCAGCAGTTAGTTGTGATATAGATCAGTTCACTCAGTGAGCACCAGTTAAATATTTGTCTTGAAGGTGAAGCAAGGACTCATTAAGAACCTCCAATGGACACGTGTGGCAGGTTTGCAAGCTTACATATATGCTCATCTCTTAATATGTCCTTTTAGTAATAAAATCTTCCCTCCACAAGCTGCAAATCATCGAGAACTGCAGCTCGTGTCCTCTCTCGCACCAGCTCCGTGACCCCATCTCCTCGTCCGACTCCACTGGCTCCACATCCCCCAGAGAATAGAGTTCAAAATCCTTGTCCTCTCCTTCGGACTTGCTCTTTCCTACCTCTGACCTGCTAACTCCATAATCAACCTATCCGCTCCCTCTGCTCAGCAGGCTGTGGCCTGCTCTACATCCCCTGACCTTCAGTCTCTCTGCCGCCACCATCTGAAACTCCATCCCACATTCTCTTTGCCTCGCTGCCTCCTTTGCTTCCTTCAAGGCGTGTCTCAAGACCCTCCTCTTCGACCCCGCCTTCAGCTACCCTCCCATGCTCCCTGATCCCAACCCCCCACCCGCTCAGGTCCAAATCCCTGACTGCTCCCAACATGATAGGTGCTATAACAAATGTAGTATTGTAATTTTTGTATTGCAAATGCATGTATTGCCACGAGTTGGACTTCACATAACCAGAGTAATGAGCTTTGCTGCCGGTAGAGTGGATCTGGCAGATGAGCTTAACCAGTTTTCTCTAGCTTTCAACTCCTTTCTACTATGTGGGTGACTACACAAAAATAATTTGGGAAGTACTGTACTTTGGCATAAAATACTTGATTGGCAATGAGGCCAGACACCCAGTTCACTGGTTGCCCTGATGTGAGCGGAGCTATTAACAACAACAACTTATATTTATATAGCACCCTTCACACAGGGTAGCATCTCGGAGCACTTAACACTCGCGAAACTCGACACCAAGCCAGGGAGAAGGGAGAATTGATCGTAGGTATAGTTGAAGAGGAAGGTCTTCAACTTGAGACTTAAAAAAAATGTAATGTGTACTTTCAAAGAATAATACATTAGAATATACAGCACAGCCTCTACGTCCCTTCTATAATGTGGGGACCAGAACTGCACACAGTATTCTAAGTGTGGCCTAACCAAGGTTCTATAGAGGTTTACCATAACTTCCCTGCATTTCATCTCTAACCCTCTAGAAATGAACCCCAATGCCTGGTTTGTCTTTTTTATGGCCTTATTAACCTGCATTACTACTTTTAGTGAATTGTGTATGTGTCCTTTTGTCTAGGTCCCTTTGTCCTCTACTATTTAGGTTTTTATTTTCCAGGATGTATGTGACTTCCTTTTTCTTTCTACCAAAATGTACCACCTCACATTTTTCCACATTGAAATGCATTTGCCATTGAAATGCCCATTCAGCAAGTTTATTCATGTCTTGCTGTAATTTATTGCAGTCCTTCTCTGTATTAACTGCTCCCCCCAATTTGGTGTCATCTGCAAATTTTGAAATTGTACTGCTGATTCCCAAGTCTACATCATTAATGTATATTGTGAACAACAGAGGTCCCAATACCGATCCTTGTGAAACACCACTGCCCACCCCTTGCCAGACTGAGTAGCTACCCTTTACCCCTACTCTCTGTTTTCTGTTTTGTAGCCAGCTTGCTATCCATTCTGCTATTTTTCCCTGAATCCACATGCTCTGACCTTATTCATTAGCCTATTATATGGTACCTTATCGAAAACCTTTTGGAAATCTAAATATATTACATCTCCCGCATTACTCTTGTCTACTCTTTCTGTTACCCGTTCAAAGAATTCAATGAGGTTGGTCAAGCATGACCTTCCTTTTTGAAATCGGTGCTGATTATGATTATTTATTATGTTTTCCATTTCTAGATCTTTATTACCTCCTTCAGTAAGGATTCCATTATCTTTCCTACCACCGATGTTAAGCTAACAAATCTATAGGTCTATACTTCCCAACTCTAATTTTCCACCTCATATTGCGACCCCCAGTCCCCTGATGTTCTGTCAGCCTGCCTGTCAGACATCAGGAGCTGGATGAGCACGAATTTCCTTCAGCTGAATGCTGATAAGACAGAAGCCATACTCTTTGGCTCTCATCAACGTCTAAAATCACATGGTTCTCATCTCCTCCACCTACCCGACCTCCCCCTAAAACTCTCCGAACCCGTATGCAACTTAGGTGTCATGTTTGACCCCCAATTATCCTTCCTCCCCCACATCCGGTCCCTCACCAGCACTGCTTTCTTCCACCTCCGACACATCGCCCGTCTCCGCCAATACTTCACTCCAAAAGCCGCTGAAACCCTGGTCCATGCCTTTGTCACCTCTCGGCTGGACTATTCAACTGCCCTCCTCAACGGTCTCCCATCCACTACCATCCATAAAATCCAGGTCATCCAAAACTCTGCCGCCCACATTCTTACCCGCACCAAACTCCGCTCCCCGATTACCCCGTCCTCGCCAGACTGCACTGGCTGCCTGTCCCAGAGAGGACCGATTTCAAGATCCTCACCCTTGTCTTCAAGTCCCTCCACTCCTCTGCATCCCCCTACCTCTCTGACTTTCTCTCTCCTCAAAACAGTGCCTGTTGCCTTCGTTCCACCGGGTCTGGCCTCCTCCTTGTTCCCCGAGTCCTCCACTCTACCATTGGCGGCTGTGCCTTCAGCCACTACACCTCGAGGCTCTGGAACTCCCTTCCTCACTCCCTTCGCCTCGCCTCCTCTCTTCCTATTTTCAGGTCTCAGCTGAAGACCTTTCTTTTCGACCGCGCCTTTGGTCACCTTCCTCCCCCTCCCCCTGGCTCGGCCCCGGGATCCGTTACTGTTATGAGCTCTGAGACGCTGTCCGGCGTGGAGGGCACTATATAAATCCAAGTTGTTGCTGGGCTTGTTCTATCTCCCTTTTTAAATATAGGTATAATATTAGCTCACCTCCAGTTCTCTGGCACTACTCCCTTTTCTAATGAGTTATATATGTGTAATAGTGCCTCTGCTATCTCTTCCCTTGATTCTTTTAATATACGCGGATACAATCCATCTGGACCAGGGGTTTTATCCTCTCTGAGTTTTGTTAGTTTTTTGATTATATCTCCCCTTTTGCATCTTAAATGTATTTATATTACTTTTGATCTCTTCTACTGTTATGTCTGTAGAATATTTTACTATTTCTTTTTATATTTCTTGATAATTTAATTTCACAATTCCTCTTTGCCTTCCTAATTGTTTTTTTAACTATTTTCCTGACCTCTTCGTATTATTTTTTGTCATGCTCTCCCTTGTTATTTACGTACTTAGTGATGATACAATACATATGAAGAGTGAGTAACTTCTCATCATGTGTCAGGATACAATATAATGGTCCTTTAGCAAAGTCTCAGTATGTGTATATATAATGTAATATATATGTTCAGTCTTCATACATTTTCCTATAATCATAAGAGCTGATACATAGTTTACAGTAGTTACATAACATGCCAGCTTGTTCTTAACAAGCCACAGTGCACTTAGCCATATCAAGCATGCAAGTAGTAGAGAACATGGCAAGACAGATTCAAACTACTTTGCAAATCTTATAATATTGCTACTGATTGTTTTGTTTCATATTCAACAAGCTTTTATACAAGGATCTCGATGTTGAGCATTTGTTAAAAATGTTGAGGTGAAAATAGTGGTGTGTGGTGTTAATTATAGCCAATGATAATTATCACATCCTCAATAAATGTAGCCAATCGGCAAGATTGTTCGATAACTAATGCCTTGATAATGCACTTCAAATTTCATCTGCCTTAGAAATGTGGGGGAAACTAAGGAGAAAGTTACATGAATAATCCTGGATATATTCATTTGATAATGACAGCGTTACTTAGGTTTTTTACTCTCCTCCTTTTCTGAAGGCAGCAACATCTGCTATTATAATGCTGTCTAATTGTTGGCAGATCTCCAGCAATGCACCAAAGCAAATGTTTATTTCCAAGCCTGGATGACAGGTGTAGGCAGGCTCTTCAGCCATAGGCAATATCACAGGCAAGCCTGATCCAGTCCTCGCCTACATCCACTCTTTACAAATCAGAACCTCGCCCGTCCCGAGGGACTTGAGGCCCGAGCCAAGATCAGTTATCTAAGCACAGATCAAACTTCCAAGCTCATTACTGTGCTAATCAACACCTCGATCCACTGAGCTGTTGGAGCAGTCCTTTCCTGGATGTGATTTCACATAGAATAACAAAGATCTTATTACAAATTACCTGTCCTCCTAGTCTGAGCGCTATCTATTTGCCATATT